CGTTTACTCAAAATCCACTTTTCCGGACCCGGCGGGACCCTTTCGGGGCACTTTTTGAGTTTTCTATAAATAGGGGAGTCTTAAGTCAAAAAGTCAGATTTCTTCATCTTCTTCCCCCTCTTGGCCGGCAGCCATGGGAGCCCAAGGGGCTGCCTTCATTCTTTCTCCTCCTCCACTTGATTTCCTTAGTGAAAACTCTTCGGCCTTAACGTTTATCGTTGGCCTTGACGTGTTCTACCTTTCCCTCTTATTAGAAACCATTTCTGACCATTTCTTGAGTTCGGGTTTGAAGTCAAGTTGTGATTTTCATGGGGCTTCCTTCGAATTCTTGTTCACCGTGTTGTCCCCGACAAAACCCCTCGGTATCGTCGGATTCGAAGCACTTTTCTTTCGGTGGGGATTTGGGATTTTTATCTCAAATTGAGATTGGGGGTGTTATAATTTACTTTCTTGTTATATTACATGTTATGGATGCTTATACAACTCATATACATGCTTGGATATCAAATCTAGAATTTTTATTTATTTATTTTCATGTATGAGATTTGATTTTCCCGATGGGTTAAAACTTGTGGCATGGCATTATAGTATACCTTAATATGGTCATTGACATATATTAAATTTAGAACATTTGGACAAGTATTAAAGTTTTTATTTAATATTTATCTTGAATAAATATTTAATTCACGTGGCCTTAACTAGATAGAAATCAATATGTGTTAGCATATTATATTAGGCCCTAGCATGCTCTTCAACATAGGTGAATTTGAGAGAAATCGGTGATGTTTTGAAATCTAGAAATATTTAATTAATTTGATTTAATTAATTTATTCCATATGTACTATTCACTATATTGGAATTCTGATTTGATATTATTGATGTGCATGCCATATGATTTCATATATATTATTTTGAGAATTTTTGGACAACTATGATTTTTAGATAAATTAATTAATTAGGTTAATTAATTTCTACTTAGTGTTCTAATGATTTAGTCATCTATTTCATGGGACTTTTGTCTTTTTATCATGCATCATGACTTGTTGTATCATGGTTTCACTAATGTAGTTATTGAATTTTCACGATTGTCTTGGAGTGATTTAATTATTCATGTATGGCTAAGTAAATAATTAAATTGTGTGTCTTATATTAGTGGTATACTTGCATCAATGAATTATATGTGCTATATATCATAGTTTGTAGTTCATGTAGATGCATATTATGATTTCTTGACATTTCACTTGCCATGATAGTTGAGAACTTAGGTCATGATTTGTGTGTTTCCAAAATCTCGATTGTGCATGAAATGTGTTTAATGCATTACTTGTATCTTGATACTATCTTGACTTGCATAACTTGTTGATTTTGGAAACTCGGGGATATCAATCAAGAAGTGACATGGCTAGGACTTGGTTCTAGTACGGGAGATAGAGAGCTCCCTACATTATCATGCACACTAGGGGAAGGTACCCTTGGGTTAGTAGCCCTAAAGTGATCCCCAAAGAATGGTTTTTCTATGGTGCGCACTAGGGGAAGGTACCAATGGGTTAGTAGCCCTAAAGTGATCCCATGAGTACGGTTTTAATCCGGACGATATCCAAGTATCCACATTGGTTGATTTCACTCTTTAAATTTCAAGTTGCTATTCCTTAAAGATTTAAAACTCTTTTCGTGTTATATATAATGTTCCAACCTTGTTCAATTGCATTGATACTATGCCTTATCTTTGATTTCGCGCCTTGTCCTTGTCGTGTTAATTGAATTGTTTCAATCTTGTTACTTTTCTTAATTATCTTGTTTCATGTTACATTGTGCTATCGTGACTTAGGAATGATCCTCTACGTGTAACTTAACTTAGATTCTAGTTAGCATGGTTCACATGTAATGATTTATATCAACATGCAAACTCTTTAAACCCTTAGATTTCAAGTGTTATCTCTTAAAGATATAAGGACCTTGTCGGAGTATTTCCTACCTTGTTTAATTTGCACAGACATTATGCTTACTTCGTGTATTTTGATCTCATTCAATATACTTGAAACTGTGCACTTGCTTCTTGCGTCTAGATTCCATTTAGCATATTCGTGTCTTGTATACTTGCCTTGTGTGTTTCCAATCTCATTAGTATACCTGTGTTTTATATATTTACCTCGCATGTTTTTACTTTCGTTCAGTACACTTGTAACCGGTATGCTTGTATGTCGTGTATCTCATTTCAATTGCATGAGTAGCTTAGGATGCTCCCTGAGTCTCATCTTGACATAGACGCTAGGTGGCATAACCCATTTGAATTGCATCATGTTAGTCTAAAAATCTGAAAGAAATCGAATCGATGTATGCTCATTCTCTACGAGTAAACTTATTTACTCACCCCGAAGTTATTGGGGGTATTGTTCAGGTACGAAGACTTGTTTCGTGATGCTCATCGCTCCGTGGATGACTTATAACTTTTAGGTTTCCATTTCATGCAAATGTTAGCATGAAATATCTTTCCGTAGCCTTATGTATCAAACTTGTATTCTTTGATTCCATTTATGTAATGTGTACATAAGTACACCTTTTTCATTGTATTCAATATGTATAAGATGAGGCCGAAGGCCAATGACATGTATCTTGTATTCTATACACTTTCGTTTTCAAGGTTCACTATGAAAATATTGAAAATTCACAAGTCTTTACTTTATAACTTTTGCGTCGGGCGTGGGAATTCCATTCTTTTTCTTTCATAGGGTTTCTATGATCATGGTTGAGGTGTGGCCAAAGGCCAAACACCATTTCATTCTAGGTTTTGCATTGTGGTTCCATTTATAGTGTTTTTAGGCATTTTTGGCCGTTGAGAGGTTATATTTTGCATTGAGGCTATTTTGAAGTCGCGGACCATTGGGACGCGTCTTAAATGTCTTTTTACGTTCGCGTGCATGTCCACATTACACAAAACTCTTGAGTTTTAACTTTTGACCTATTTTTGGGCGATTTATTGAATTTTCATGTAAAATTCATCATTGGGATGTCATTTTGAGTTCTTCCTTGTTTATATGCATGCTTTGGATGCTTGAACGGGGCTAGAAAATGTTTTCAAACTTGTTCGGATCATGTAGAATGCATGTAGAACCCTAGAATTGGCCCAAGCACCATTTTCACACATTGAAGCAGCTTTTCATAGCTGCAGCAGATGTGTCGGTCGGCTGATGAATGTCCATCAGCCGGCTGACAAACCTCGAGAGTCCATTCTAGTAGCCTTTTTTGTGAAAAGTGGCGTTTCGGTCGGCTGACCATGGGGGTTCGGCCGGCTGATGATGCACTTTCGGTCAGCTGATCCTTGCCGTCGGTCAACCAATCCTCCCTGGGACCTTCTCCTTTCAGTTTTCTTGGACAGTTTACTTGCACCGACTTCAGAAGGACTTATCTCCTTCGTTTCTAATTCAAATCTATTCATTCTTGAGTCTAAATTCAAAAGCTCGAAGTTATCCTTCCATTGGTACAACCACTCATCAAAACTCCAATTGTAATGGGAGTTATTCCAGTTCTAATGAGATAGGGTCAAGGAAATCTTTAAGTGGAGAAGGCCACTTTGTTTTAAATTTATATCTTTTCCGTCCGGACTCAAAATCAGGCGATTCTTGAGTCTAACTTTGTTCATTTTTCGTTGTCTTTCCAATGGTGTGCGCGGTGGCACCCATTTCAGTGTGAAATGACCATTTTGCCCTTGATTCATTTCTTTTCGAGTTAGGCATTCTTGCTTCATTTGCTTGGCTCATTTGAGTTCAGTGGCTTTATGGGGAGTCATTTTGGCGTTTTAGAGATAACGTACATCTCTAGAGGCCTTTTTACTTTTTTTGCTTTCGCATCTTGGATCTGGTTCGGGTCATCACAGAACACACTGGGTTGAAAAATCCAGGGTCGTTACAGATATATCCTTTTCCTTGTATTTGGTCTGGTATATGTTCTAATTAACTAACATGACTTGGTTTCATCTATACATTTAAGTTGCTTATCTGGTCTAATTATTCTCTTTGACACCACAGTAGGACATCTAGGACTTGTAATTCAAGTGATCAGAATTGCCAAGTCCAATTTTTTTTTTGGATTAATGAGGTAAGCTTGCTTTTAATGAGTTGGAGTTATAGATCTATTATTCTCAATTCAGTGGTTAAATATATTTTACATATTAAAAAAAAAATGTTTTAATTCAGTAGTTAAATATAAAAAGTTAATTACAAATGAGCTTTCTTGATAGCCCACTCATCTAAAAATAGATAATGCTAAGAACCTAATGTTCAAAATAGCTGCTTTAAACATAAAGACTAAAAAAGGTCATGCTAAACACATAGTTATGCTTAATTTCAACAAAACTGCCCGCTTTAAAGAAAATATTGTAAAAATTAACTTATATAGCTATGCATAGAATTGGAGTCTTGGAATTAATAGAATATATGAATTGGAGAAAATTTTAGTTCATGTAGCCGAAATCTGTCCTTTTAACATTTTCCAAGCATTTGTGTACGAGCAGCATAACGTAGGAGCAATGTCCTCCTGGTCTCCATAACTGTGTGTGTGTCTTGTATTAGTGCTAGGTCAGTGGATGTAAGTTGTCATCAAAGTCTTTCACTTGCTTCCAAGAAATTTTAAGGATGAAAGTCAAATTTTTATTTGATTAATGAGGTAAGCTTGTCTTCAATGAGTGACGCCAACACCAACCATTTCACATCATTTTTCTAACTGAATCAACTCATTTTTCAAGATGAACATACCATTTTTTTACTCCAAGCACGTGTTCATGAAGGCATCCCGATGATTCTTGTTCATCGACTGTTGAAACACCAAAATATTTTATTACAATAACGAGTACAGATATTATATTAAGTACCATTTTATCTTCTTCCTTCCTAATTAAATATCAATGAGTGTATTGGAAAGTGAGTTAGAAGACAGTCCAAAATTTCTCTTATATATCAGACTCTCAAAATGAAGTTTTCAGTACCACAATTAGCTTCAGGAAAATGGGCGGGCCTTCAGATTCTGCTTGTTGGAAGAACTGGTTCAGGTTTGGGTATGAAGAACACAAGGACACTCCTAGTGACATCCGAAATGTGCTGCTAATAGTGGCAGCTCTGGTCACCGCGGTGACCTTCCAAGCCGGGGTCAACCCTCCTGGTGGTGTTTGGCAGGATGACAGCAATGGACACAAGGCAGGAAGGGCAATTTACGCGTCTCACAAAGTAGCATTCTACGTTTTCTTGATATCTAACACATTTTCTCTTTCCGCCTCCATCCTTGTCCTTGTTTCTCTGACTCATGGATTCCCTTTTCATTTCGAAATATGGGTGGCCATGGCCTCAATGTATGCAACTTATGCTTCTGCAGTTTTCGCTATTGCACCGGGTGAATCAGTGCATTTTCGCTATGTTCTGCTTGCAGCTGCTGTGCCTTTTATAATGAGATTTGTGATTCAGTTGTTCAAGAGGTGGAAGTGACATTGGTTTTTACCGTGTGTTGTTTGTTGGTGCTCTTTTTCTTTACCTCTTTTTTTTTTTTTTAAATCTTTTCTGGCTTATGGAAATGGCCTTTTTCAATTGTAATGTGAGGGTATGCCCTCTCTTCTTGTAGCTTTGTATTCTTGTTTTGTTGGTTTAATGTAATTTTATTTAGGAAAAAAATAAATAAATAAAGAGTAGCCAATTTATAAAAAATAATAATAATAAGATTTATATGTCCATGTTGTGGTTGGTCCTTATTGAATTCGAAACAATGTATCACCATTGAGCTTCATTCAAGCTTCTAACACCATCTACCCTTATTAACAAATAAAATCTAACTACTTCTCTTTTAGTGTACGGTGTTACAGGGAATATGTCTTTCTTTTCTTTACTGATCATGTATTTGGTGTATTTGGTCCGAGATTCGAAGTAACTAAAAAATTTGGTTTCATCTAAGGTGACCACGGATTTAGATTGGATTGGTTTGGGAATCAAACCTAAATCAATCTGATCCCAGCGAAATGATAAAAATTAAATTTAATATGATTTGTTGACTCTCAAGAAGTAAGTGTAAAACTCTCTCTTTTCTGTACCTTGAGAGTTGAGATGATTCTTAGACATAAACTTTAACACTCTGGTTACTTTCCAGGTCTTTCCCCTTCCACAGCATCCTCTGGTTCGTGCACCATCCTCTCCAATTACCTTTTTGGGAGCATTATTTGATACTGTGGTAGCTTCCATCCATGCTGAACAAGATACATTATCCAGATCCCCCTTTCCAGAAACTGAAATACAGATGGGGGTAGGATTAGAGTTAAAACTTTAAAGAACTAAAGAAATAGTGTACATATAATATATATTTTGTAATAATGTAAAACTAACGGATTTGTTATACAGGTTCTGTTTTTTAAACCCTAATTTATTAATCGATCCGTTTTCTACGAATTCTTATTTTATAAATTTGTAACCCAAACATTACACTAAAAATCGATAAATCCGTACGGATTTAATTGGATCAAATCGGATTCACGAATTAGGGGAATCAAATGAACACCCCTAGTTACATCTAGTTGCTTATTTAGTATTATTATTCTGTTTGACACCACATAGTAAGGGTGTAACTTGTCATTTTTACAATTAGGGTTAGTCATTTGTTGAAAAACATTAATTCAAATTCAATTAGGGTTCGAATTGAGTCGAAGTTTTCAATATATATATATATATATATATATATTATAATAATATTCATACTATGATCACTTTTTTTCTTTTCAAATTTTTTTATTTAAAATTTAATTTATTGCATTCACAGGATTAATTTCTTAGAAATCCGCATTAACTTTGTTCAATTTTTTGTGCTTTAAAGTATTCTAATATGAAATTATTAACTCTGGATCAAATTAGATTTTCAATGACTAAGGGACTTGTGACTCAGTGGTATCTTCTCTACCTCTCAAACTGGACTTGAGGTTCAAGTCTCTAAATGAGCAAAGTGAGTTTGTGAGTGGCTTGTCATTGACCAAAAAAATAAATAAATTCAATTTGTACTGTGATTATATTGACAATTCTAAGTAACTCGATTTTTTAATTTGAAATCTCAACTTGAATTGTAAACCTAAATTTAAAAATTAAAGGATAAGTTGAGCTCGGATTCAGTAATTATAGTTGAAGGGTCATAATAGAATTTAATTAGAATTGAATATTTCATACATCCAGTTAGACTTGAGTTGTACTCATCCACCTTGCCTAAGTTGCAACCCTATGATTTATAAATCAAAGTATGAGAATTGCCTAGTCCATTTTTTATTATGAGATAAGCTTGACTTAAACCAGTGACGCACCCAAATTGGGCGGCAAGCCAATTTGGTAATAATTAGCATGGATTTATACCAAGTAATTTAGGTTGCAATTTAATTTATATTTCCTTAATTATTCACGTTTCTTAGCAAATTCAAGTCTTTATTATTTCAATCCCAATTTGTCACCTTTTCGATCAGATTTCAGTTTCCTTTCGTATTTCAATTCTATTCAATTTCTATGCTCCAATTACTCCGTATTTTCTTTAGAAAGTCCGCTGACCCGGTCAACACGGTGATCGTAAACGTCAACCATTTTACACCATCTTCCTAACCGAGTCAACTCATTTTTCTAGCCGGACGTATTCACGAAGGCACCAAGATGATTCATTTTCATTCTCCGTTGAAACACCAAGCTATTTAATTACAATACTTTATGGTAAACGTCAACCATTTCACACCATTTTTCTATCCGAGTGAACTCATTTTTCTATATGAGCATATTGACGAAGGCACCAGGATGATTCTTCTTTGTTGTCTTGTTGAAACAGTACCAAATCGTCTTCTATATATAACACTCTCAAAATGGAAGTTTGCTGCAGGAAAAGCCCTTCAGATTCTATTAGGAAAATGGCGACGCCTTCGTATTCTATTAGGAAAAGTTTTTTCAGGTTCGGGTATGAAGAAGACAAGGAGACTCCCAGTGACACCCGAAATGTGCTGCTAATAGTGGCTGCTCTGATCACCGCCGTGACCTTCCAAGCAGGCGTCAACCCACCCGGTGGTGTTTGGCAGGATGATGGCGACGGACACAAGGCGGGAAGGGCAATTTACGCGTCTCACAAACACGCATTCTATGCTTTCTTGATATCCAACACATTGGCTCTTTCCGCATCCATCCTGTCCTCGTCTCTCTCACTTACAGATTTCCATTTCATTTCGAAATTTGGGTGGCCACGGCTGCAATGTATGCAACTTATGCTTCTGCAGTTTTTGCTATCGCGCCAAATGAATCGGTGCGTTTTCGCTATGTTCTGCTTGCAGCTGCTGTGCCTTATATAATCAGATTTGTGATTCTGTTGTTCTGTAAGTTGAAGAATAGGCAGGGCCGGACCTAAAATTTTAGGTAAGGCAAGACTGAAATTTTGTAATAATTTCAGGGGCATTAGTAATATTTTAGGGATACATATTGAAAAAAAGGAACATAATATATTAGTAAAAAATTAAAAATTCATAGGCAACATTCGTGGTACTAGTCTTGACTCTCCGATAAGTTATTTTTCTGAGCAATTGATATGGCTGGATGTTTTGGTGCCCTCTGCTGTAGCATTGTATTCTTGTTTAGTTTGTTTAATGCAATTTTATTTGAAAAAAAAAAAAAATAGATAAATAAAGAAAGAGTATCCAACATCCAAATTATTATTGTACTTACTCTCTCTTGACTATTACCTCTGTCCCAAAAAGAATATCGCGTGTTTGCATAACCGTGGGGTCATTTTTCTTTCTGAAATTTTACGAATAAAATTAAGGCATTAAAGCTCGAGCATTGTACCTATAGAGCTCGAGCCCTATCAATCGTGCTCGAGCCTTACCTAAGGTGCTCGAGCCTTTCGGTTTCCCAAACTCGACATGTTTTTTGGAACAGAGTGAATAATTTATAAGGACTATATTGACTGGTGCCTTTTGATGCTAACAAAGAGGATTTAAGTTAACTCTGTATAGGAAAGAAATCATCAGAAAATTATATATAACTTGATTTTATTTTGTTTATTTTTTATTTTTAATTAAAAAGGTACAAATGAAAATAAAATATTGATGATAGAAGTTACTCAGTTTTGTCATTGCAATTTCCTTTACTCAGTTATGTCATTGCAATTTCCTTTTCTCATTATATTGTTGGTTGGTTCATAATATTTTCAGGGTTTCATTTGAATCTTTTATTTTATTATATTTAATTATTGTATAATATATATATATATATATATATATATATATATATATGATATCTATGATATAGAAAAACTCTAAAAAAATGTAATTTATCCATTCCAGCAATGTTCTAATCAATATTCGGAAGAGTTGTCTCACCCTGAAGCTTGTTAATTACAAAGCACATCTCACCCTTTTAAACAGGTAACATGTCTACTTTCTAGAAATTTTTAACTGAATGTTTACATATTTACACAAAACTCTCACTATTTCTAAAATATTATACAATCATCTAGCATCTTCAAATTATCCAACATTTTAGAATCTCTCAACTTTCTTAACAATACTCCACAACCTCCACATTGGACTGAAGACTGCAATTCCAACTCTTCTCATTCATGACACTCGTGTGGTCATGGCGAAACCTTCTACAAATTAGCGGAGAGTGACAACATGCTCCAATTAGTTGTCCATGAATACACATGTTCAATTTGGGCACCATAATTCATATTCAAGCCTCACATTTCATGAACGACAAGTTCTAACAGCATCTTCCATTGTTAACTAATAGAATCTAATAACTTACTATTTCTACTAACATGTCAATATATACTACATTCAAATATATATATATATATATATATATATATATATATATATATGGGGCCGGTTGCGAGCGATAAACACCTGTACGATAAGCAAATAGGTTATATAACCTATATAGGTTCTTGAAAGTCCCTAATATTTATTTTTGGTGCGAATAAGGACCTGTCGTCAGTAGAGCGATTAAAAAACTAAAGTGTCCTTTATGTGTTTGAAAATAAAAGGTGAAACACAGAATAAATGTAAAATGATCAAAGTATCCTAACCAAAAGGGAGGGTATTTTGGAGAGACCAAAAGGACAGTTTAGAGAATTTGTTACTTAATACAGGCACGTGCAACACACATGACTGCTTAAATGTGATTTTCAAACATATTATACAAAGTAAACCCTTATTTGCCTATTTTTTAAAACTTAACAGACTTACATACCAAAATAAAAGTTAGGGTGTTATTTCCCATATTAAGAATGTTTTTCTCACTTTGCCCTCTATATATATATATTGTATTACTAATATCTATTATCTATATGAATTCAAGACAAAGAAAGTAAGGAAAAAAAACAAAAAGGTTTTTAAGGACTTGCAACTTGTTCATCTCTCTCTATTTATTTATTTTTCTTTTCTCATTTTAGTTTCCACGTCACATTTATTTAAATTGTTTTATCCTATTTGTTTTAGGTTGTAGGTTCCTCATTATTTAGGTTATTTATAATGAGAACATCTTCACACTGCAAGGTTGTAAAAGTTAACCTCTTCACAGGGAGAAAGTCTGCTATATCCCCGGAACCTCTTAACTGTCGAATTACTCATCAGGTGAGTTCAGCAACCACATCTCATAGTTGGGAACCAATACGTTCGGTACTTCCAAGTATTGCAGACTTTCGTGAAAGTGTCATTAATATTATATGTTATAAAAATAAATATTATATTTTTATATTCATCTTGATTTTAATTTCATTCTACTACTTTGGCCCCCAACCCAACATTTCTGGTTCCGCCCCTGACAAACGGTCTTCTGTTTCGGAACTATCTCTTTCTCTTCCTCTCCCTGATATGTAAACTGTAGTCTCAAGCTCATGTACATTTCTAGATATCCATATATGTGTGTGATATGTAGATTCTCGTTTCCCATCGTTGTCTCTTTAGAAACACATTTTCTGTATTTGTTTCTTCTCAATCATGCACACCTTAGATCTACATATATTTATGAAATACCATTAGAGGTCAATTTATGTGTAATATACTAGAAGGAATCAACTGATTGAAACCCCATATCCATGAAATCAAGTGGGTTGATCTTGAAGTGTTATTTTTATAGAAAAATGTTTTCAAAAACCAAACACAAAAATAACAGAAATTTTTTTAAAAAATATATAGTAACGACCCACTCCACCACATGGGTACGATATTATCCGCTTTAGACCTAATCTCAGGCAATGTGAGACTATGTACCCGTAACTCGCCAGTGTGGTAGCCTGACAGTGCCCTCTCGCGCCCGCCCACAAGGTCATCACATATATATTTTAAAATCAAGATACTAGTGTAGAGAAGCATTATTGCACAGTTAAATGGATGACTAGAAAGTGAGGACCTGGTTACATATGACAAGTCTGTATTGAACAAAAGAGGAGAATATAGACGGGGAGGCTATTTCAAACCATTTTTCTGACTGAACCAACTCATTGTTCATGAACGCACTGCGATGTTTCTTGTTCATTGAATGTTGAAACGCCAAAATAATCTGTTACAATGACAAGAACAAAAATTATATTAATATCAAACAAATCAACAATCATACCAGGAAGTCAACTATTTTAGTTCTTTTTTATTTTTGTTTAGTCCATAGAAAGATGAATGAAAGTTCGTTGAGTACTATTTTATCATTCCAAAACTTATTGAAAAGTCAATTAGAAGACTCAGTTCGCTGTCATTGGAAAATCAATTAGAAGACTCAGTCCAAACCTTCTTCTCTATATTAGCCTCTCAAAATGAAATCATCAGTACCACTGCTTCAAAAAAAATGGCGAGTCCTTCTGATTCAGTTGGGAAAAGTTGGTTCAGGCTTCGGTACGAAGAAGAGAGGGACACTCCAAGTGAAACCCGAAATGTGCTGCTAATTGTGGCTGCTTTGATCACCGCCGTTACCTTCCAAGCAGGGGTCAACCCACCGGGAGGTGTTTGGCAGGATGATAGCGATGGACACAAGGCGGGAAGGGCAATTTATGCATCTCAGAAAGTAGCATTCTACGTTTTCTTGATATCGAACACAGTGGCTCTCTCTGCATCTATACTTGTCCTCATTTCTCTCACTTACAGGTTCCCTTTTCATTTTGAAATATGGGTCGCGACGGCTTCAATGTATGCGACTTATGCTTCTGCAGTTTTTGCCATTGCACCAGATGAATCGGTGCGGTTTCGTTATGTCCTGCTTGCAGCTGCTGTGCCTTTTGTGATGAGATTTGTGATTCAGATGTTCAAGAAGTTGAGGAGTAGGGTTTGATATCCATGTAATAACATTGCTTCTAATTTATTTAATTCATGAATCCAACAGCAAAGGTTTGTTGTATCAATAAAATTGAGAGTAGTCTATTTTAGCACAATCAAATTATTCTTATACTTACTCTTTCTTCGCTAATTTTATGAGGACCCATTGGGTGAGGCCTCTTCTTGATGCTATCCATGAGGACTTTAGTTGAACTTCTCTTGGATTATACCATGAGGAAATAATCAGAAAATCAGATATTACTTGAATTGTTTTATGTTTAAAAGGTACAAATCAGAAGAAATATTTGGGCCCCTTTTGTTTGATGAAAAATATTTTTCAAAAAATATTTTTTTTATTTTTTGGTGTTTGGTTGTTGTAAAATATTTATGAACAAAAAAATATTAAAATTTAACAAAATTAATTAATCCATCAATTTTTGTTCAAATTATTTTAAATATTTTACCTAAAAAGAAAAATCTTTTGTGAAAAAAAAATATTTCATATCAAAACAAACGCAGCCCACGATGATAAAAGTAATCTAAAAAAATTTCCTGTCTCAATTTTCCTCTTTTCAAGCATTGTTGGCTCAAAATCATTTTCATTCTATTTGACAAGTTCCATTTGAATTACTAATGAGCATTGGTCATATGATACAAGTTCTCTTTCCCAAAGGGTAGGTTGGGTGTTGGAGTTAAGGACAAAAGATTATGGGTGTGTATGTTTGTTTAAACTTCCGAACAAAAAGGTTTCATTTGACTTTTTTTTTTTTTCAAGAAAACCAACAATGGATTTATATAATCATGTTGTGGTTGGCAATTAACCATTAATCTTAGTTAATATAGTTGAACCTTTTGATAAAAATACAAACTAACCTATAGGACTACCTAATTCTTTTGGACACTGTGTGATTTGCTGAAAGAAAAAAACAAGTGAACAAATAAAAGATAATTTCTCTCATGTTCAAGTTGGCACATGCTCCATCCAACTAGTTGTCCACGAATGCACATGTTCCATGTTCCCACCCAAGAATCAAATACAACTGTCAAACAGCATAAATTGTCTCTAACTGCCAAAAATAACCACAACACTGTATCATCACTTTTTGTGCACACAAAATGCTTTTAGACACCAAACATAGCATCAAAGGGGACCTTTCACTAACCAGTCACCACTCATTTTCCATTCCAGATGGGCCTCCTCAGTTACAACATAGCCATCAGAAAACTTTAGTGTCACTGCTAAAAAACAAAAGTGGACAAGTATCTTTCATTGACATTAACATACTTTGATAGCCAGACTGTAAAGCACAGACACCCATCTGTATAAATGCTAATTGATCTCAAGTCCAGATCAGCCCAAAAAAAATTAGATTAAAAAAAAGAAAAAAAAAAGGAAATGTACGCACTACACATGGTAAATTCGTCACTACAGGTCTGGGAAAGGTCAAATGTACGCAATTTTACCTCCACATGAAAACGTTGTTTCTAGTTTCGATCCCATGACCTAAAAATGTATGCAACCTTACCTCCATATGAAAAGGTTATTTCCGGTTTTGATCCCGTGACCTCAGGTCACAAAGGAGTAGTGACCTTACTATTGCCGACCGAGAGAGGATCTCTCTATTTCTAACTACATTTGGAGGTTGAAAAGCTAAGTACTTAAACAGCTAGTTGTGGCTGTTGTTGTTGATGGGAGGAGGCTTCATCTTCATTGAAACACAAGTGCAGCTTTGGTGACCTTCCAATATTTAAGGAAGATTCTGCTAAATCTAGATGAGGCTGCAATATCATCTCTCTCTGTAGGTGAGAACAGTATGTGTGGAAAGTCGTTGGGGTCACGTTTAAGTGGAAGCTCAATCCAAATAGGAAATCCACTTCAAGAAAGTTCATCTCTGTTGTGCTGATTCCTCCAACTTTAGCATAATAAGCATTATTGTAGTACCTGAAAATTCTCAAACCATCAAAAAATAAAACATTAGTTCAAATTATAGTGTTTGTCTATATATATATATATAGTTATATACATACCAAAATGAAAAATTACTAAATTATCCTTTTCATGGTTCACATTAACTACTAAAAGACAGCCAAGTAATTTTATGAATGCTTAAACAAATTTTATGGTTCTGCTGGACTATCACTATCAGATATGAATATTTAGTCTTTGTCATGCTATTAAAGAATGGATGAATTTTACAGTAATACCCTTCACATACACTTTTGGTAGCTGTTCTTGAAAAAAGAGAGAAGAAAAGAGAAACCAGGGTTTTGTAGCTTTCCTGGTCTGATTTGCAACTCTATATATCAAAATTTGGGGAAATATTTTAGATAATAAATCAAATCACAATTCACAAGGTACCTGGAAAATCAAATTGGGAAAGTAAAATGTCTGGACTTTTCAGTATTTCAGCATTTATATTTTCTAAAATGCATCATTCCAAGAGAAAACAATTCAAGAAAACCAAAGCTAGACTGGAAATCAATAACAAAATACAATTAAGCTTCCATTCAATCCTCAAAATCAAAATCAAAATCCATTCACATAAATAAAGAAATAAATTTAAAAAAACCCAGAAAATGATTTCCAAGAATTTCAAATATTTATCAACCAAAATTAAAAATTTAAACAATTTAATGAAATATAGGCCATAAATTCCAGAATTTTGAACATTGAATGATCAAAGCAATTTGAGCATTGAATGATCAAACTAATTTGAACTAAAAAAAATCCCCAGAAAACAAATCAAAGAATCTGAAACTTTTTTGAGTATTTAACAAGAAAAGAATCTTGAAAACTTACATATCATCCATGAACTTTGCAGAGATCATGACACTGGCGATGAGCAACCGATGAACGTTGAATGAATTGATGGGCAATGAGGGCTGTCTCTGAGCGAACCGATCAAGATAAATGTAGGCAACAACGAAGCACGACGGACTACAATTCGCGTACTTGAAAATTCTCTCTAAATAGCTCTGGATTGATATGGAGGGTCGAGTTAGGCCATGAAAAACAGAGATTTTCTGTGATTGGAATAGAGGGTTGAGATCGTTTGATTCGGACACCCTTTGGAGCAGAGTAGAGAGGAAGGTGATGAGTTTGGGCATCACATTTGGGCTCTCCAAATCTGCCATTGAATTGCTGGTGAAATTGTTCAATATGTGTTGTTGTTGGGATATATATATAGAGCTCATCTTTTTTTACCTGGAAGTGGTCGTTATTTGGTAGGTAATTTTATTTGACCAAAATAGCCTCAGGAATTTGAATTATGGCTAGTATGTCCACACTCACCGATGGTGGTCTTGTACTTTTTGGCTCAAAAGTCGGGAATTTTGAGTTGGATTATGATTTCTTGATTCAAACTTAACTTGTAAAAGAGGGAAAGATTGATTAGTGTGAAATTGTGGATTAATGATTTGTTTTCATTAAAGGTGGAAATAAAGAGGAATTTGAACTTTTTTTTCATGGGAAAGTGACGGAAAATAGACATATGTGATGGCATGACACATACTAATTATCATGTGATTACATGTGGATTAATGGTGATTTTAAATTGTGGGTCCTACTAGAACAGATTTTTCATAGGTTGTGATCTATACATAATTAGGTGACAAAGTAGACAGTGACTGTTAGTATTATTATTATTATTATTTTTGTAGGTTTGTTTAAATTTCATTTTTTGCAATTCTAAGATTTTGTCTGACCGACACAACCTTATATCACTATTTATGATCCAAACATGTATATTCAATTTTTTTTTTTCATTTTCTTTTTCTTTTCAAAAAATAAAAAATAAAAATAAAAATAAATAAAAAATCAGGTTTGAACTACGGCTGCAACTTATGAGGATTGAAAATTTAGCTTTGAGTCCAACCCGACATATAAAATGTTTAATCCAAACTCAATCATAACTTTACCTTCAACTCTAACTACTCAATTCGAGCCCAATCCATCCTTATAATTTTAAACTGGATTTTAACTCGAGATTTTAGATTTTGAGTTCAAAAGTCGAGTTACCCATATGACCAATTTGATTAAGTTACTCTATCTAAAAAAAAAAATTAAAAAGTTATTGCAAATTTTTAATAAATTACTAACAAATGCTTATAAAAGTAATCCTACTAAATGCCAATACACAATAAATTAAGATTTATCAAATGTTGAAAAAAAAAAGGTGATTATAATTTAAAGAATATATATAATGCATTTAAAGTTAATATATATATATATATATATATATATATATATATATATATATATATATATAAATATAATAATAATAATAATAATAATAATTTTAGAATTCGAGTTCGGATTTTGTTAGCACCTAAAATCAAGCTCAACCTTAATTAAGTTCTGGTTAAGATTTTTCAACCAAAGCTTGACCCTAATTATTATAAAAATAATTATCCAGACTCGTGAAAAATTAGACTGGGATTGGACAAGGTTCGAATTGCCCAACCCAAATTACACACCTAGTTTGAACCGTAACAACAAAACAAAATCCTTACACTTTTCATGTAGTAAATTGAATTAATGGCCCTGAATCTATGAAATTTAAATAATATGTACATCAGTGTTAGTATTTTTAACTATTTTATCTTAATTTAAGTTTTAACTTTTCAATGCATGCAATTTTTAGCTCCATCCTTAATTTCCAATTTGAGCCCAAGTGAGCTCTTCCTTTACTGTGTTTGTTGAATGGATCTTAAATGAACTTTCGTGGGTCACTACATATCAGTCTGCTTTCCAATTTAAAGAAAATGAATATTATGGATCGAATACGACCCTTAAAAAAACGAAATAGCAACAATTTCATGTAGTCAAAATAAAAATAGTACAGTGACTAAATATATAAGGTCACTGATAAAAGTGTGAGAGAACACGTACATCGGAGAATTAAGAAATTATCTATAAAATGAGAAAGTCTACAAGGTAAGAGGATCGTAAAAAAATAAATAAATAAATAAAATAAAATAAATTTGAAATGAGGTTGTGATGACGTTGATTATTATGAATTGAGCAATTTTTTATTATTATTATTTTTTTAAAAAAAAATTAGGAGCCACCAACATAGAAGAGTGTTTTAGTGGCACTCCTGTGAGGTGGACACCAAAAACAAACTATTGGAGTGATATATTTAAAATTCAAATGATAAAAAAAGTTCAGAAAGAGAGAAAGGTAATTGACTTTACAGCAAGATGGTTATCTGTTCATAGCCATTCTGAGTTCTAACATGCTGGCAACCTATTCCCCTCATTAATTTTGTCTTATGCTAGCTTTTAAAAACAACTACTACAAACTATACCACAGAACTTACATAATATATATATATATATACCCTACCTTATACCCACTACTATTTACTTTAATCTAGTGCATTCTAGTTGAAGATATATTTCTTGGACTAATTATAATTTTTTAATGGATTTTTGTAGATTAATTAATGTTTCTTGCTGGATGGTGTTGTGAAGATAGATCTCGCACTTTTACATTTATTTGTCTCCATTTATGTTTCAAGGAGTTCTAAGAAAAGAATAGGTGTCATTACTCGCTAGACCGGGAGAAAGGAAAAATGTGTGGTATTTGTATTATTCGTAAATAAATAAATCCCTAATAATTCATTTTTAATTCTTATTTAATGATTCATTTTTAATTCTTATGTAGTTTTATATACTTGTATAGTTTTAATTGGGCCAAATCCCCTGATTGGGATAGGAGGCAAGTATTACAATTTTTTCTTCTTCTTCTTCTTCTAATTCAATCAATCCAAATAAATCTTAAAAATTCTAGTGATAAGGATTATTCAAAAAATGGCATATTCATGTAAAACAAATACAAATTGCATGTATAGAGGACACATAAATTGTATTATAAAAAAAAAGTTGTGACAGTCTAAAAAGATGGAGTCTAACATAATGATCTTTTCTAAAAGAATCAGAGTCAATTTGAAATTATTATTATTTAGGTGAGATATTAGAGTAAATTAAATAAATGGGGCAAAGTCCAAAAGATCTCCTCCTGTTGGGGGGTTTTTTGGAATTTTTGGAATAAAAATAGTTAGTTAAGAGATTTAGTGGAAAATTAACCAGAATGTAAAATGACTAAAGTATTTCTTATACTTTAAAATGTATCTCCATTTACTGTTGCTGTCAAAATAAATAAACACACAATATAACATAAAAACTCCATAAGTCCAACACCATAAACCATATAAAAAAAAAAAAAATTATCTTCAAACAAATAATTAAAATTAAAATGATAACAAATAAACAAATAAATAAAATTAAAATGATTGTTGGTAAAGAAAAGGAAAACCCATTGTAATTAAATGTAACAAAACTACAGTTCTAATACAATGCATTTAACAAGCTTATATAGATTCATATTGAATACGAAATTAAAAAATAGTTACATGGGTGTGATTTGCTCACATTAGCTTGGTTTTCACAGTAATGTAGGGCTGAAAGACAATTATCATAAAGCAACTTCAAATGTCAGTCTACAATACCAGATTTGGGACTCAAAATTCAAACATCAATATAAACATAAAAATAAAAATAAAAAAGTATTATATCTCTCTCCCAAAAACAACCACTGTAGGTGCGAAATTTCTCTCTATTAAAATAAATAAAAAAGAAAATACAAATCACTCAGAACATACAATTATAATACTCAGAGATAAGAGTATAATGCTCGATAATTTTATTAAAGGTCTAGGCCTCTATTTATAAGAAATAAGGTGGTGGAATTATGGTAGGACTCACCTGACTTGTCCTCCAATCAATTCCATACATGACATTCTTTACATTTATAATTATTTCCTTTTTACAATTCTTTCCATGCAAAACTTTCTTTGCACAGAACTTGCTTTCTTTACTGAATCATTTGTCTATTAGGACTGGTCTATCTTTAATTGGGATTGGGCTGAATGTGGGCCAATCCATACGATTCGGCAAATAGGCTTGAAGTTCAGCCATAGCAGCCCCGGGCTGTTGAGGTCTTTATTGGGCCTGAATGAGATTATATGCATCTGGGCTTATTAAATGGGCCGAATGCCCTGAGTCAACGGTCTAGATGGAAGAAAGACCTTGTCTGGACTTATTCTGGATTAGGTTCTCCCAATCTGGGCTTGATACTGATCAGACCCTTGCTGTATCTAATATAAATTTGTAGTGTGATGACGTGGACGATTCTTACTGGAGGGGGGATTTTTTCCCTCCACAACCACTAATGAGTAAATAGGTATTCATTCGTAAAAGAATAAGTATTGCTACTTGCCTAATGATGAAATGAAGGAATATAAAAAAAATAACTCATGGAAAAATTGAAGTTGTTTTAGACTCAATTAGTGATTATTATTATTATTTTTCTTTGGGTCCTATATAGGAGAAAAATTAATTCATTATTATGAATTCTAGCCTCTCCGTTGAATCTTTGCAAAGTGGATGATGGCAATTCACAAATTTTGCCTAAAGGATACTTTAGTCATTTTACATCCTGAGTTGATGTCCCTTATAAATTTGTTAACGCCTCTCATAGTTGAGGGGGTTTTTTGAAATAAAAACAGTTAAGAAGGGTTAAAGGGTAAAAGTGGGGTTTTCTTTGGACTTGGTCCAGATAAATGATATCAATTTGTTAAGATTAACTTGATTCTATTCTAAACGGTAGTCATGCGTTGTCTACATTGCCCGGAGTTTCCATTTTAAAAGATTCAATTTAGAAAACAAAACTACAAAAAATAAATACTAATTTGATATTTAAACTCTCGTGACTCCAATCTCTTGTCTCTTCCACTCCAAGGAATAAAGAAATTTTCAAATATTATTGTTAAAATCTGATTTTTTAAAGAAAAACTTCTCAAAACCTTTTACTTTGTTGAATGGGGTCTCTCTTTAAGAAAAGAAGGTTAAGGGTTTAAATTCTGGTTGGGACTTGTGAATATAAGTATATTTACCTAAGTAGAAGGATTGTGTCTCCCCAATCCATGGTGGGTTTCTCTGCAAATCCATTGTCAAATGTTTCTGGAATTTTTGTCTTTATTTTTTTGGTAAAGTACAATCACACTCCCTGAGGTTCAGCAAAAAGATACTCAAAAGAAACTTACCTGTTTTTTGGACAAAGACACCCCCTGAAGGTTCAAAAATGAACAAAGACACCCATTTACCTGAAAAATTGACCAAATTACTCTTTGACCATTTAAGATACTTTTTTAACTTTACAATTTAATAAATTGGACCAATCTACCCTCATGAATAATTTATGCATAAAAAAAAAGTAAAAAAAAACTTTATATTGTTCACTTTTTTTTTTTTTTTTTTTTTTTTTGTTAATTACTTTATAAATGTCCCAACTTCTTAAAAATGTAGACGTCTAAAATAATTTTTTGATTCAATACATTTATTTCAAATAAATTATATTTTGTTATTACTTCTTTTCTTTTTTTTTTTTTTTAAAAAAATTAAGATGCTTAATTCTTTTATCTAAAAAAATTAAACCAATCTCTTTTCCTTGAAAATAAAAAATAGGGTACCAGTGTAACTTTATGCATCTTAAATTATATATAAAATATTATGCATTTCCCAGCATAAAAGATAATAGTTACCAGTATAACTTTATGCATGCCTTTGTTTTTGTTTTATTATGTTTTTTTCCTTTATTTTATTATTATTTTTTTTCCCTTTTATGTTAGGAAATGCATAATATTTGATATATAATTTAAGATGCATAAAGTTATACTGGTACCATATTTTTTATTTTTAAGAAAAAGAGATTGGTTTAATTTTTTTAAATGAAAGAATTAAGCATCTTAATTTAAAAATAAAAAAGAAAAGAAGTAGTAACAAAATATAATTAATTTGAAATATATGTATTGGATCAAAAAATCATTTTAGACGTCTACATTTTAAAGAAGTTGGGACATTTATAAAGTTTTTTTTTTTTTTTTGTTACTTTTTTTTTATGCATAAATTGTTCATGAGTGTAGATTGGTCCAATTTATTAAATTGTAAAGTTAAAAAAGTTTCCTAAATGGTCAAAGGGTAATTTGGTCAATTTCTCATGTGAAGGGTGTCTTTGTCCATTTTTGAACATTCAGGGTGTCTTTGTCCAAAAAATAGATAAATTTTATCTGAGTATCCTCTTACCAAACCTCAAGGGGTGTAACTGTACTTTACCTTCTTTCTTTTTTTTCTTTTTTTCTTTTATTTTCACAGATTTACTGTGTTTTTTCCTATTAGACCCTAACCTCTCATATATGTGCACACAAGCTATTGCCCTTGCAATGTCCCTTAAATATTTTATTTTTATTTTTATTTTTATATCCTCATTGTCCCTTGAATTCACATGCCCTACTTGTATCATTGTTAATAGATTTGGCAGTCACCATAACTTTGCCGAAGTTTCTTTTATACAAACTGTCTCAAGTCCGAATAAATGTGAAGAGTGGCGTTAAAGTAATTTCTTAGTCAGCGTAAAACTTTGTTACAGACTGTATGAACATGAATTTTACAATTACTTAAGTAAAAAGTGCAGTGAAGACCTTCAAGTACGTCATATCATCTATATTGACATATATATTAAGCAAAGAGGAAAATCAAAGTTTTAGTGAGTGGAATTAATAAGAAATGACGAGATAATATGTGAATTGACTAAAGTTATAACCATAAATAGAGCAAATGAAAACATATGATTCATATAACTTATTCTAACTTTCTAAGTAAGTTGAAAAATAATTTGATTGTTGTTAATGTTGTATTTCGGCCGTCACCATATTTTGGACATATCATATTCCGATTAATTTTAAGAGGTTATATTTACACTCAAAAAAAAAAATCTACCACATTTTGAAATATAATAATAGATATCATGTAACAAGAAACCCAATGAAAAAAACATATATATATTTTTATGTGAAGATTGTCTCTCTTTAATTTATTAATCAATTTTTTTTTTTTTTAGTTGGTAATTACACTCACGTACCTTCATTGAGATTCGAACCCCTGACTTCTCTTTGAAAAGTAGGGACATGATACATTACTCGCCTATTGATAATTTATTAATCAAAATTGAATGAAAGTCTCCTTTAAGTTGCAGGATATAAAGAAACATTCAATGATGCTATTAAACCGACTTTGTTGTTAGTGGTATAAAATTCATGTTCTGAAATTTGGATCTAAAAAATAAAAAATTAAGATTTTAATCTTTAATTCCTATTTTAAAACATAAAATTATATGGTGCACTCAGATAGAAAAGGGTACTTGTGGAAATCAACAACATGAAACCAAATGCCAAGTTGGGAGCATGTTTTGATTGGAGTGATTGAAGAACAAAGCATGTCGTGCAATAGAGATGTAGAATAGATATAGAATAGAATAGAATAGAGCTTCTCAAACTTCATGTTACATTGCGATCACTATCTCATAAGCCTCTTTGCTGGTCCTACTACAGTACCAACCCATGTGCTGTCCATGTGAGTCCCTCCTCTACCGTCACAACCACATTTCACTACCACAATACACACACACACACACTAGCAATATATATATATATATATATATATAAAACAAAGTAAAAAATAAGAGCAACCCACATGATTATTCAATCAATATTGTCGCCTAGTGGTATGGTCGTCCTTTAACCTTAGAATATGACCTATCATGTACAAAGTTTCCAAGTAACATAGATATAGGTCCCAAACAAGGAATGATCAATGAACATTAGATTCTGGGTATCAGACCAATGAAATTGCGCCACATCAATTGTTTTTTTCGGAGTGGGAGTTCCACGTGCTAGGCACGTTCTACACATGTTGTCGGTATGTGGTCACTGTTTTCCTTCATTGTAATTTGATGGTGTTATCACCGACAAAAAATTATTTGTCAAATAGCTTATTAAGATGCGAAAGTCTCTAAATGTGACCAGTGCTATGCTCATAAAATTTGAAGAAGAAAGCACAGTTGATTAAATTTGGTTATAGTTACATAATTATTCTAAATAAGTGTCATTTTCACTTTCCGTAACCTCTTTTACTTCCATTTTTACTTTGCGTCACTTAAATTTTGCTTCAATCCCACTCTCCTGACTTAGGGACTCACACCACATAAGCTAATAAATTACAGTAGCAAACGTAGAAATAAAGAAATCATGAGATGTGACCAACTCATTGTTTATGTGTAAACAAGTTGGGCCAGGATGGACCATGCATGGGTGGTCGTGGACCTGTAGTTGACGAAGTGATGACTCAAGAACCCAATGTGTCGAGTTTGTTTTATACTTACTCAAATACAGTAGTTTGTAGATGACTGTGTGAGTATGTGTATTTACATGGATTAGTTTGTTCAAGATGTCCATGGTCAACTTGAAATTGCGAGCCCAAACCATAATTGTCCGGGTCATTGGCCCAGTATTGAACATTTGTAGGTGGTGTTCACCTTAAAAAAAAAAAAACACTCAATATTGAGCCAATGGACCAATATTGAAGTGGTGTTCAAATTGTGAGCCCAAAAGACCCAAATCAATATTGCCCAATGGACCAATATTAAAGTGGTGTTCAAATTGTTAGCCCAAAGGACCCGAATCAAAATTGCCCAATGGCCCAATATTGAACATTCAATTTTTATTGGAGAGAGATATTTGAAGGCTAAAAATGTTTTATTTACTCTAATTTGAGCAATTTTACTTCTTAAATTTCTTCTAAATTTAATGACTGCTTTTCCCAATATATACGATTAGTCATAATCTTATCTCCTCAAAAAAGGAACTGACTTAATGAGAAGTGCAAGGCACAATTAGGTAAATTCAGGTGCAAATTTAGCACAGCATGCACGGAGGAATAATTTGTTTGTAGGTACGAAAGACAGAACTATTAAAGTCATCAAACGAACTCTTAGTAGAATAAAATACGCGCGCGCGTGAAGGTGCAAGAGCCTAGAGGGCATGTAATTTATGTAATGTACTCAGGAACTCATACTCATTATAACCATTCACAGTGGTAAAACTGTAAACCAAACAAAGAGGAAGAAAATGAAATTTTCATTCCAGCCAACAACAATTCCTGTAAAAAATAACCAAGTTAGCTTTTATGAGATGAGACTACACTTCAGCCTAGATCAACGGTGAAACATTTGAAGTAAAACACATAGTAGTTGGTTCAAGAACAAAAAACTCTGAAAGGAGAAAAATAATTTGCCCTTTATTCACACACAACACAAAACAAAAATGAAAATAAAGAAAAAAAGAAAAAATTCTAAATGAACGTTATCTTAATAATTACAAAGATCTTTGATATATGGGGACAAGACACCTTCCAGCTACAATATGTCAAAGACATTTCAAGTTTAATGTAACCCACCCCAAAACCCCAACCCAAATATACAAAGTTCTTGACATGTTTTCATGCAATAATTTAACACCAATGAAACACAAAAGGGTTGTCAGTCTCACATATGATGGACCCTGATGTTTACACCTCAAAATGGGAAATTTGCTCACAAAATTATAGTTTCCATAAGAATTAGGGGCAATATCCATTGGAGGATGTGCTGCACTTTGGAGAGTCAGAATTTCTTAATCGGAACCTGCCAAATCCACAAATTTAGAGAAATTTTGGTCTTTTGTATACTAATTCATTGATCATTTCAATTTCTTACACTATAAACCTTCCTCAATAAATCAAGAGCATCCTGGCCAACTTCTCTGCATAACATCCGTGTTTGCGATATTTCCATGAACAAATACTTTGGGCTCTCTGACCTGCAGTAAATGAATAGACAAATGTTTTGCAGTAACTGTATTATGCAAATAATATTTTTGAGATAAAGCAAAACTACTTACCAGCAAAATGGGTGGAAAGCCATTGTGAAAACGAGCTCTGGAGAACCCGTTTATAGTAAATAAACACTTGAATCCATTGATGTTGGCGTACTCACTATCATACAAAGAAAAAATATATATTGGGAATCAATTCAAAAAAAAAAAATTGAGATTAGAGATTAGAGATTCAAGATTTGCAGATACATTTCAGACTAGTATGTAAAAAAATAAAAGGAAAAGGTAATCGATCTCAAGTCTGCAAATTTTTATTAGTCTAGAATTGTAAATATGCGTTTGCAACAATAATCCATCTCTGTTATACTTTGGCACCTCCAATCCACTGAACAACCAATCAAGAGAGAGAGAGAGAGAGAACATATGAAGGTCCATTACTAGTGTTGGTTCCGCCTATGTAGGGAGCTGGAAGGGTCGCACTGGAAATAAACCTAACCTTAGACATTATTTTGCAGAAATTGTCCAGTTTTGAACTTGAACTCGTCTTTCAATACAACAATTAAAACTTTTTCCAATACACCAAGAATTGACCCCTTACAAGATCACCCTTATGTTACCCTTTTCTTACATGCACCTTATTCACTAACATAGCCCTGCTCTCCTTGTCATGTGCATTCAGCCTACTCTCCTCTCACTGTTTCTATTTGCACACTCTAGTGTGCTGACAGGGAGGGGGAATACCCATGTAGAAAAATGGAATCTTTGCATTACAATTGAACATTTTGCCCACACATACCTTCCTTTTTCATGTACAGGGATATTATTTGCTACACTCTAATTGCATGAGTGTACTACAGAGTTGGACGACATCTTCAAAAATATATACCTGAGGTGGCAGTAGCTAAATTTTTTTCCATAAAGCACACCTGTTTACGCATCATGTTCTGGCACACATTTTTAATACAAAAAGATAAAATAGAATGATGACAAACTCACTTCAGAAGATAGGTGAAATTCCTTTGGCAAAATTCTTCTAGACGTATGTCTTCTTCTTTAGAATACCTGCATTACAAAACAGTCTAACTATGAACTGAAAAACAAGCACTGCAGATCATAAAAGAATTTGAAACTGTTGAATTCCCTCATTATTAATGTGCTACATTCTGGAAGCTGTTGAATTGATGGTTGATGAAAAGATGGATCACAATAAACTGTCACAGGGATGTAACCTGGCCCTCAAAATGATTCCTTAAAGATTTAGCTGGTGAAGAAACTACACTTTTTTGTTTTTTGTTTTTTGTTTTTAATTTTTAGAAAAGAAAAACACATGATGAGAAAGAGAGGAGAAAAAGACAGGAAAAACATATGTGAGTTTTGGTCAGCCTCATTTCTTATCTGACCTTGAAAAAAAAATTACAATCCGAGCCTTTTAGTTCCCATCCAAAATTAGAGAATTTCAATTTTCCGTTAGTTAAAAGCGACCGAGATGAATATTCTAACTCATTCCTTATCTGACCTTGAAAAAAAATGCATTTCAGTTGATTAGTAACAAAGCACATTTTTTTTTTTTTCCTCCTCCCTAGTTGGTACTCACAAACCCCTGACCTCCCTTTGAAAAGTAAGAGGCTGATATAGTTAGGCCACTGGCCCGTTGGTAGTAACAAAGCACATTGACAGTCACCTGTTTTCCTACATCCTTACTGCCATAGACAGTATAGTTGATTGCTATTAAAAAGATTCATACTTGAAGTGAGTAAAATAATGATGTACAGTGCTTGAGATTGATACAACAAATTCTATATTGACATTCCACAGCAGTGATTACGTTCCTGCATAGAATATTGACTGGGTACTAACATAAACTTTCCAGGTAAATAGTACTAAACTGTTGCAATCGTAGGTTGGTGCTCAAGCTTAATATCAGCATCTAAAATGTTTAGTATCGGTGAGTTCTACACAGTTCCAAAAAAATGTAGTGTCCTTAAAATTCTCACTTTATAGGTTGCTAAATCATCGTGTCAAATACCAATGCTCGTACCAACATCAATGCAAGGTAGCTTTTGACCAGTTCTTAAGGAATGATTACTTTGAGTGAGTTGAAGGAACATTATGACAACTGCTGCAACCTAAAGCATGCGAAGCAAACCCAATTTGAAGAATAAAGTGAAAGGAAGGAAGAAGAGAAGAAAAGAAGGAGGAAAATGAGACAAGGGACAAAAATTCTCTTCAATTGAAAGAATTCTTACTTAATATGCCAAGAGAATGGCCTTTTTTTTTTTTTTTTTTGGGGGGGGGGGGTGTGGGCGCAAACAAAAACAAAAACAAATAGGGGGGCAAAGATTAAAGCGCCCTTCATCTTATGTCTATATTCAGCACTTCTTTCAAGCTGGAGCAAACATATCAACCATACACAGCTTGTCATAATTATATTGAGCCCCATTCCAATACTTTTACTAAATATATCAGTAGTTGGTTTCAAAATTCGTGCACAAGTAAAAATCATTTTACTCATGACATGCTCAATTATCTCATGGGATATAGTACTAAGAGCAGTGCACATAACAACCAAGGGCATCTATTTTTTCACATGACTAGGAACTCCATTTTGTGAAGAAGATACCAAAACCATTTACCCTATAAAAGTAAAACCAACTTAATCAGCCATCAAATCTAAATAATATATGACTCTAAAAGTTACAAGTAACAGTCTTTCCTCAGAGCACACTTCAAAGATCAAAACACAACTCCCAAGTAAATCTAAGGACAAAGGGAATGCATAAACAAGCCAACAACTCCACCTGCAGAGGAAATGTTACAACATAAACTGTAAAATCTATCATTTTTTCCAACAAATCTTGTATAACGTCCAAGATAAATAAATATATCACCATGACTATTTACGACTTGGTACTTACACCCAAGGGACGATCCACTATTTTGCTGTAGATCAAACTATCCTAAGAAACCAGTCACTGAAATAGATAAAGACCATCATGGAATTTAAGTGACGATACGAATAAGTCGAATCAAGTATACCTCCATGGGAAATCATTTTCACAAAAGCGAGAAATTCCATTCATCGCTGAGAAGGAGTCTATGTGGACCCACTGTTCATTTGAATTGTTTGTGGCATAGCCTGCCAGAACAATCATATCAATTTTCACTGAATAATGCAATTCAAATACACACACACAACCAGAATTGAATGCAAATGCAAACTAACAACTTAAACACAAAAATGATTTCTGTATCTGAATAGTTGGCTAATGTTGAAAATGTAGATGATTCAAAAAACTATTCAAGATTGACATATAGTTAGATGAATGTACACTGTCTCTGCTTCTTTTACCTACATACTGAATGGTAAAGCATGTCAATTGCATTACAATTTATTTGTTGTATAATAATCTGTAAAATATTACTCCAAGACTCGCACCAACTTTCACAATACTTTCTATTTTTAGGTGACAAATATTATGGTTTGTTAGACGGCTCCGATTATCTTCTTTACATATTAGAAAGAACAAACAATATAAATATATATATTTAGAGAGAGAGAGAGAGATAGAGAGAGGTTAGCAGGACCCTTTCTTTTGAGTAGTTCACCTCTGGATATATTAAACCTTTCAACTTGTCTCACTAAGTATGTTTTAAGGTTCATTTAGTTATCTTATTAAAGCTTTACTTGGAGACAATGTTATACAGATTTTACACATAAAGCTCTTTATAACCACATGATTTTGAAATAGCAATAACCTTTCAATTGTTTTTGCTCACTCGAACCTAGCAACACACATATAAAGTTGTATTTGGTTTCAATTAGAGTAGTCAGCTTTGCAAACCTTAGAAGTAGCACAATGGCTCATAAGATGCTTGTGTGTGTGTGTGTGTGTGTGTGAGAGAGAGAGAGAGAGAGAGAGAGAGAGCTCACCCATCCGATGCAAATCTTTCAGTGCATAACCACTAGGATAGTTCTCATATGATGCCATAAACATTATAACGGTGCACCCTAGACTACAAAATGAACAATAAGCATCGATAGATGAAGTAATTCAAATTTCTAATGATGGAATGTGCATACTCATCCAACCTGGCAATGAGCAATCCCAGCAGAGCAATATAAAGCAAGTTCCAGAATCTCTTTTTCCTATTGTTGTAGCTGTAAAAAGTTGAAATCAGAAATTAATAAAAGTTTCCTACAAGTCAAAATAGAGAAACTGTAAAATCCAATACCAGATTTATTGAAAAATGAAAGGACATAATATTTTGGGATAATTGAACATCAATAAGCTACAATTACATTGAAAATTACAATACATATTTAACTTTCTAAATTTTCATCCAAGCAAGCCAGCAAAAGCGTTACATAAACACTTCTAGATGAAAGCCATATCCATTCAAAAAGAATCAAATCCAGATACAAAAAAATCTGGTGAAATACCCTGGATTCTTCATTACAAGATTTGTTATAGATTCTAATAATACAAGATGGTTTGAAGACCATACTCAATGATAAAGAAAGCTGGAAGTCAACTAAATATCCATAACTCAGCAAAAACAATAGACAAATACTGAAACTGCGTACGAAGACAAGGATAGAACTTAAAAGGGAAAAAGGAACAAATTTGTGAAAAGTTAAATGTGACACCAATCTGGAACAAGAAGAGAGAAATTCGACTGAGATGGATGGTCCTTCAAGCTATCAGGACCTGAGGCCAACCCCAACCCCACCTCACCCATCAGCATCTGATTACTGTTTAAGGGTAGCTCGGATGATAGTCATGTGGAAGATAGATGACAAGACTAATTAGGAGTGATTAATTCAAGGCTTCAAGCTAAAGGTGCTAAGACCGACAATGAGGTCTTTGTGAAGTTGAGCAATAAATGTTTTACTTGAACACTTCACCACTAGGTGACATATCCATGTTAGAAATGACATGCAATAAATACAGATATATGTGTTAAACTGTTGAATAAATACGTCAGCATCATGTGTGTCTAATAGAAGATTAAATATTCCTAAATAACTTAAGGTTCCCTCCTACCATAAATATGTTTTTGTTCCATGAGTATTTCAAAGATATCCATAATTCTTATAAGAATATTGTAAAGAATAATTGAGAAAGTGATCAGCATAGAAGAAAAGCAACATACACTCTGCTAGCTCCAATTGCTGCAGCTAAGTTGAAGATTGGAACAGAACTAATAATGAAACGGAGCTCCTGCCGTATTAAGAACTATGACAATGAATACGTGTCCGGTAAGTTGAAATCAAGTAAACCTGAACTTCATAGTCCATGTCTAGTACCTTGTGTGGGAGCTTGGAGTAAAGTAAAACAAATGAGACAACTGGAAGAATGTAGAACACCACCCTCCTATCAAGTAAAACCCCAAGCTGCAATGATGATGACACGTCAAATGAGGAACAAGAAAATTAGTAACAATTTGTACTCAAAACTCAAGTTGAAGAGAACAAAATTTTTGGGCATTTCAATAATAAAGTCCTCAAGACACCTACCACTCTTTCTGATTCTCTCATTTAGAATCAACTTCCATTTTCTTTCTCAACGTCCACTTATGGGTAGCATTAGTGTTGCATCAAATTGACAAGAGTGAAAATAAGTTTTCATTAACTAGCATTAAACTATAATCTTGTTGCAATCATCCTTGTAAGGGATTTGTTTGCCAAGAATTAAATTAATTAATAAGCTGAGCCAAATATGATGAGAGAGAGAGAGAGAGAGAGAGAGATTGGAGATCTCAAATCGTCTTCACTGCACTGAAACATGTACATTAAACACTCACTAGTCTCAACCAAATTTTCATGTAGAGAAAAGGCCATAAAATCTTCAGGTAATTGACCCAATCATTAAACTATTGATACCTTTTATTAGCGTGTCACGCCCAAGACCACACTAAGTAATATATACATCATGCAGGCAATGTATATAGTTTGCAATAGATATTATCAAATCAAAAGTGCTAAAAAAATTACACAATTATGACATAAATACATATAAGGTTGAAGCACGAAGCATCAACAGTTAATAATTTAAACATAAACCAACTCAGCCAAATGTCTAACATGGAAGAATCTAAAACCCCTCCCAACCAAAAAGAAAAACAGAAAATGGAACTTCGCATAATAACTTCAGGTACACGATATTGGTGTGATAATTAACTTAGTGATCTGCAAAGCAGCTGTTGCGCCTAGTAAAAAATAAAAAAGAACATTTCAAAGACCATCATTTGAATGTACGTAGGCAACTACTTTATGCTACAGAGATGTGTCACTGGAGAAATCATAATAATACATGACAGATTTTTACATTCAGAATAAGAGTGCTTTTTGGTCTGTTAATATACCCACCATAAAGAGAGGATATGCAGCAAGCAATGAGCGGGGAAGTGCTGAAGTGAAGTACCAGTGGAAGGAATGTGTCTGCAGAGTAAATATTAAGGATGACAGAAAATATGAATTTCACAAAAGACTATATTTATAAAGGTGTTCTGATGAGAGTTCTGATATCTATAGTAAAGATAAAGATAAATCAACAGGTTAAATCATTCATGAATTATAAATCAAATCTACCTAAAAAAGGCAGAAAAGCAGATTGCCCAACTCAAAAAGGCCAGCCCAAACACTAAGTAAACTCATGAAGCCCTGAAGCCTAACAATCACACAATAATTTTGCCAAGTCTCACCACTAACACCCAAAAAGAGAACATGGTGTTTAAGGAGATACACAAGGCTCGTGTTACCATGGTGTAATAGAGCCTTAGATAGCCTCTCTCTCTTTCAAGCTTCAATTATCTCACCACCGTCTCACCAACTTTCACTTCTTCTACCCAAGACCAAGTCGAACTCCGGCCCCCAAATTGAAGAAGGGTATTACCTAGTTACTACTTGCTAGTACATGTCCCACCTGCACGGTGTGCTAAGAGGGGATGATTAGAGATAGAACTAACCTTTGTTATTCACAAAGTGGCTACTCTGAGACTCAAACCAACACGCTCACATTTGTCAGCTCAAGGTTTTATCATTGCAACATGCAATCACCTCTATTGCATCTCCTCAAAATACACAAACACGTATTACACACCTGTATGAGCAAGCAACAAACAAAGTATCCACCAGGGTTGAGTTATTTCATTCACATAAATCACTGTAACATTATGATGTAATGATGTAGGAGGGAGAATTGCAATATTCCTCTAGTAACCACAAACTCTAACCACTATGAGCACGGTAGGGGAGGAACCAGAAATTTTGATTTGGTTTTGGTGGCAGTGGTGGGGGACAAGTACTGTGTACTTAAAGTTTATAAATCTATCATAATATAATTTTCTTTATTATATTAGTCTTTAGTGTATATATTGAGGAAAATATAATTTAAAAAATGAGAAAAATAAAACCTAAGTAAATAGAGATGGAAAACTGATATGAGAAAGAAAAAACAAAGAGAAAAGGAAACAGTAAGTTGCATGTAAAAGAGAAGTGGTAGAGAAAAACATTGTTAAAGAATGGATTATCCATTAGCAATGGTTTAAAATTTTCAAAAATTCAAATTTTTGAAAAAAAAAGTGAGTACTTTGATTCCAGCCGTAATGAAAGATTAAAATAAAGATACCATTTTAACTAAACAAAATATCACAAGGTTTTACAAAACGCGATTATTAGGAACAAAATAAATAAGTGCTTTAATAACTTATACAAGGAGTGGCTATAGAATTTGCATTTAATAAGTGACAACTAAAACTATTACCATATATGGTACCATTGTTGTTGGCATTTTTGTCATCTTGGTCTTATAATAATTTAGTTTTTCCTTCCTCTCAATGCTTTAAGACTCGCCGAAGGAGATTGACATATGATTCATGATATTTTTCTTGTAAACATCATATAACAAAAATGTCTAACAAGGTAGGTTCATGTGTTTTTATTAAAGATGAGGAGATATTAGTGTTATTTTTCTTTTTCTCTATTGAATTCATATAATGGATAGAATACACGTCTATATACAAATGTAAACGGAGTGATAATATATTACAGTAAGGAATAAGGACTGCAAATGAATCACAAGTTACAACACAAGCACTTTGAGCATACATATATAAGTAGACACACATTGCAGACTCAAGAGCACTAGCTTAGACCATTAGAACACGCAACATATACAGACAAACATGATATGTATATTTAATAAGATCAATGAATACGAAGACATCTGTTAGATACTTCGTCAAATTCTACATATAACAAAAAAAAAAATTGCAACAAAGGATACTCCCCACTCGGAACTCCGGTTCAGAACAGAATTGAACCAGAAAACTTCAAATTCGGGCCACAACAACTTCCCCCACATAACCGTATCAACCAGCATGGTAAGACCTGCAATGCATAGAAATTAATTCTTTGAGATCACAAGAAGATTTGATACCATGAACCAATTTAACGTTTACATGTTATATGGACTGATAAAATATATGAAGTAATTGACATAGTGGAATACAATAAATAACAAACCTATGCAAAGCAATGCAGTTCCAATGCAGCATTTTACTGCTTTCCACAATGAAATCGATTTGGTCTGCCATCAAAAAATGAATGTTACTAACATTAAGCATAAAGCTTAATCAAGCTTAACAAATTATTATGGAATCAGAATATGTTAAAAGCAACATTGGTGATTATCACCACCAAGGGCCAAGGCTGGTGGTATTTCCTCCTCCCATAGGAGGTTGAGGGTTCAAATAGTCATCAGGGCAAGGCAATAGTGATTGTGTGATTGTGTTGCGTGAGTTTGTTGGGTGTGTGTGTGTTCTTACCTATCAACAAAAAATTGATGATTATCAGGCGAAAAGAAACTCACTCTGATCATTATACCAAACAATACGACATTATCCAATGTCTTCATTTTCTTTTTTCTTTTTTATTTTTTTGTTAGGTAAAACTAGAAACCATGAACGATGCACATATTACCCAATGTCACAACAAGGAAATCGTTTTAAAATATATGACTTATATGCAAAAAGAAAAAATATGCAGTTACTCATAAATAACGCAACAAATAGAATGCAGAACAAGTGCATGTTAAACCTAAAAGATAAAATATTGACAGAGGTGCATTCATAAGGACACAAATCATAAACCACAAAAGCATAATAGTGACATTTTAACAGGAAGATGCATAGATTTCCATGGGAATAAATAATAACAGTAGGTTCAAGGAACATATAATTTTAAGTAAATGCTAGGATAATTCAAAATTAATTGTTCAAAACAACAGACGGATAATTATTAAATAAAAATAAAAAATCCAACGGCCACACAACATACCAGCAAAAGCTCTAGACCCAGAGGACAAAGAAGTAACAGCATGTCGCACCTAAAGATGAGTGTAGCAAAAATCTGACAATCAGAACACAGAGAGCAATGAGAACTTAAAAATAGCAATAAGTAAGATTCTAATGATGCATTTTACATGATATTTATTACAAAAATGCAGGGAAAAAAATACTTGTAAGAAAAAGAATAAGAAATGATATTTAATAACAAATATATAATGTCGAGAAAGATAATAATAAAATAATACCCATAGGGCTAAGATAAACTTACATGCTGGTAGATATGGGAAGGACAATTTCTTGTTATGGAAATCACCATGACCCAAACTTTCCATCAAATTATTGATTTTATTGATATTTGGGATCTTGACAAAAGATTAAAAGAAGTTCAAGGGTTGCATGAGCCAACCAATGACGAGTACACCTCATAGGCTTACTGATAAAAAATTCAAAACCCAGGGACTAGCAATACAGAGAATAAAGCAGTACTAATCTCCAATTATGAGCTTAGGAAGGTCTACTCCAGCACTAAGCATTTCTTATTTCTTTTATTTTTTTATAAGTATTTATTGAAAAGAGTGGTCCCTTGTTCACGGGAAGTATGTAAAAGATGATTGTACAAGTTTATCTGAACCAAAAATTTTACAAAGTGTCAAACCAAAAAAAAAGAGAGAAAAGAAAAGGCTCCTCAATCCAAACAGAGTGATCTCAGCATATGATGCTTAATATACCAAATAGGCATTTTTGCTCTGTCAAAAAACCTACTACTCACTCCAATTATTCTACAAAAGGCATCGTAGTGCCTCATAAAACACTAGCTTGACTCTCCTTCCCAACTCTGCAATCCCTCCAATTAGCAGGCACATCCCCTTCTAATTCAGACATTGCTCACAGGTCTCCAAAAAGTGCAAATAAGAAGAACCACAAGTCAGCATTCACAATCTTCCCAATAACCTTAATTGATCCCAAAAAAGAGCAACTTTTACATGAGTTTTTGTGTACCACTACCTTCCAAGAAACCTTAAACGACCCTCTCCTGAAGCACCTTATAAAAAGATTTCACCTCAAATTACCCTCAATTTCAACCGTCCTCAAAGAATCCTCCTTCCCCTCAGCAACAACCTAAGCATAAAATTACCAAAGAATGCCTCAATCTAACTCAGCCCTCGGATGTTGCAGTCTATGAAACTAAATATCCAACACCACTCTGATCTAAATCAATCTTATACAATTTACAACTATATCCCGTTGGTCCACGGCAATCCGGAAAAGAATGAAGCAAGGTGTCCAGAATCCACAAAAATCAAAGAAACAAACCACGAGTTATAGGTAACTTTGCAATGTGGACTAGAGATGCTATATTGTCCATACCATAAAAACACAATGCAAATAACACAGCAAGTAATTTAAGTGAAGTCAAAAGGCTCATACTAATGTAAGAATGTGTCTGTATTATTATCTTCTTTTTTTGATAAGTATCTGTATTTTTATCTTCATGACCTGTTCAATCTAAAAATGGAACACAATTTGCAGGAATCCAAGCTAATATTTTAGGATTTTGTGACATTTTGGATAACCAATATTACAACACATAATGTGCAACATGACCTTGAGTGGTTAGGGAAAACATACCAGACATCTTAATGCTGCGTAAGAACTCCCCTTGAACCAATACCCATATGCCAAATTGACTACAAAAATATTCAGAAAATTTCAGTGTGACAAACTATAACATATACTGCATAATTCCTTACAGTGAACCATTCATAAGTGTTATCCACACAAACAGTTTCATTTTGCAAACACAAGCCACTTGATAATTAAATGGAAAGAACCAAGCACTGCAAACCTATACTAGATAAGATCATCAAGAGACGGACTTCGAAAAAATGATGGCAAACTTCATTCTAATAGATCCTTCATCATGTAGTGAACTTCTGCCCATTCTTTTCTCTTCTTTCTTTCAAATTGTCAGGTCACCGTGGTTAGTTAACAACAGCCATCCAGACTAACATTGTCAGTATTAAATTAATTGATTTTCCAAAATTTGAAAAATATCCCCCAAATCAAGCTCAACTGGATTTAAGTTTGACCCCACTGAGCTAGATGTGATAGATACTGGTGTAATATCCTTTACGAGAAGAGGCTGCCTATCATATGTAGCACTTTTCCTGAATTAACTTTGAATCTCAATTATATTAGACTCATGCAAAGCTAATTTTAGTAAAACCACAATCAGTTGTTTTACTTCTTTCTCTATCAAAACTAGATTCCTCCCATACAGGTAGCCCTTTATTTGTTACTGTTGACCACATCATTCCAATGAAATGCACAACTTTAACATTAAGCTTTTTCATTATAGCTAACTAACAGAATTCTCCCTTACAAAGCATGCGATATTAGACACACAAAATTGGAGCCAAATAGACAACAGTTTTAGATGTTTGAATTGTAATTGCAAATAACCAATGTTGTTCCTGTTAATTAAGAGGGTGCTGAAAGGAATGAATTAAGTATGGGCCCAACCTCTGCTATTATATATGCAAAGTAGCTGCACAGCTCATACTTAAATGCAAGTAGAAAATACATTGACCTAATAACATTTTGAAATTTGAAACAAAACACCAAACCAGGGTCACATTGCTCACTCCAAACCTAGAATAGCGCCAATGAGAGAGAAGAGAGAGTGTTCTAGCCTCTAAAGCAATTATATCACATAGTAGTAAAGACCTTGGTTTTATATGTTTCTGAACCACAAAAGAGGTGATGGAAACTTTGAAAAGCTGTAATGGGAATAGGGGCCCTAGTCCTGATGGTAGGATGAGGGCATTCTTACAACAGTGTTGCGGATCACAAGATCAGATGTCATGGAAACTACTAATCACTTTAATGGGCATGGATAATTGAGAGGAACCAGAATGCCTTGCTCATTACAGTAATTCCTAAGAATGAAGGTATTATAGACTTGAAAGACTTGGACCAACGGTCTATATAAGTTTGTAGAGAAAATCATGGCTATGAGGCTCAAGAAGGTGATGAAGGCAATAAATTCAAAGTCCGAAAATGCCTCCATGGAGGTTAATAAAATGAGTAAATATCCATGCCGGTCAACACACAAACCTGAGTCCAGGTGAAACACTGGAAGTCTCATTATATTACCTGCTGATTATAACATTGTGTTTTGCAGGGTAAAGGAAGCTCAGGTGAAATACTGGAGTTCAATTCCCCTTTGTTCAAAGAATGTGTCTAGCTTGATGGTTAAATTGGCAAGAGAACGTTGATCCCAATGGGAGAGGTGAAAGGCACAAATCTCTAGCTGCTATTTTGAGGTGTAGGTTGGAAACTCTTCCTGCTGCTTATATGGGCGTCCCTTCGGGTTTTCCATTCAAGGCAACAACTATTTAGGATGTTGAGGTAGAGATGTTTGACGAGAGGTTAGCTTGCCCACACACTTCATGTCTTTCATCCACATTCCACTCTAAAGAGAATATATCCCTTCCCATGGCATTGCTTTCCATGAGTGAACTAAAACTGAAAGTAACAGAAGGCGTGAGAACTAAAGAGAATATTGTAGCAGATATAGCTGAATAGTATGTTGTTCGGATAACAAACTCTCTCATTCATAGCAGCATAAAATAAAAAATCAGCCAGTTTTAAAACGTAACTGAGCATATTAGAGTTAAAAGTGCACATAATCACCTAAACCCAATGCCAAAATATTAGGAAGAGGACGTGTGCAATAGAACAGCATGTGAAACTGAAATGCAACCAATATCACAAAGAAAGCTTCAACTTGATGGCCAAACTTCTTTCTAATCTGCTCAAACAAAGAACAAAGTTCACCAGTAACTCCATTAAATGGAATACCAAACATAAGGAGATAGAAAAGCAGAGCATATATGCAGGGAATATGTTCATCAAATAACTTGAAATAAAAGATCTGTGGATACACTTCCCTTTCTTGGGAGGAGGAAAAAAAAAAAAGGGGGCAGAAGAAACAGGAAGAAAAGTAACAAAAACACCTCCCTCTAAAGGTATCTGAAGTCATAGCTAAAAGCTTAACCAAAAAGGAAACCTCTTCATAAGTCAATCTAGGTGTCCACTTAATCTAAACCTCTAAAGAAATAAGCAAAACTCTCCTGTGAAACAATTTTGAAGCATGGATCAAGATTGAGCTCTGGCCCAATTTGCCACTGCCTTTGAATCACCCTCGAGCAAACACTCACAGATTCGCAAAAGTGAAGTTTTCTGTAGGCCTTCAAGAAGAGCTAGAACCCACACTTCAGTGGCAAAGCCCCAATACAAAAATAGTTTACAGTCTAGAGAGAAGGAAGGAAGGGCAGAAGATCCTCCGGGATGAAATGTTTCTTTCTTCTACCTTAGTGCCTTGCCAACTGTAATTGGTTAACTCATAATGGATGTTTGGTGTGATAATCAAATCTATTTCAAAAACTCATCCGGAGGTATTAAACTAAATTTTGATGGTGGGAATACTATATGGCCGAGTCTCTTTAGCATCAAAGCATAGTTGTTAAAGGCGCGCGCCTGAGGCGCAAGGCGCCTCCAGGCACCACCTTGGCGCCTTGATTGTCTCAAGGCGACTGCCTTGTACTAGGTGAGCGCCTCTAAGGAATAGGCGCAAGGCTACAGGTGCGCCTACTTGAAAGTATATATATTTTGTACTTTTTTTGTTATTATTTTGGTTGTGTATGGGTTTATTATTTGTTTATTGTTTGTTTAGTTTTTATTTTTTTATTACAAAACCTATACAAGACTACAAAAGAAAAAGAAAAGAAAAAAGTTACCAAAAAGCAAAAGGAGTAAAGGACAGAGAAGTACGAGCCCGGACCGAGCCTCATCTGCGAAGCTTGGAGTCTTGGATCTGCCGGATCTGCGAAGCTGGTAAGTTCTCCTTCCCTCTCTTCTTCTTCTCTCCTTCTTGCTTCTCGGATCTCTCAGTCTTCTTCTTTTCTTCTTTTCTTCTTTTATTCCTGAGACTCTCAGATTTTTTTTTTTTCTTCTTTTCTTCAGTTCTTCTTCTCCTCTCGGCAGTCAGCTCTCTCGAGTCTCGGCTCTTAAGTCTTGCTCTTCTTTTATTTATTTATTTATTTATTTATTTTATTTATTCTTCTTCTTCTTCTTCTTTTCTTCTTCTTCTCTCGAGTCTCGGCTCTTCTTGGCGTTTTTTTATTTTATTTTTTTCTCTATTCTTCAATTTCTTCTTCTCTCGGCTCTTCTTTTATTTTATTTTTCAATAGCATATCATTGTTGTAGATCATTGTCTTTCGACTCTTTCCTGGTATATATCATTGAAAAATGAAGAAATTAATTAAATTGTTTTAAAATTTCCTAATTTAAATTGTCTGTTTGAATAATAGCATATCTTATTGGAACTGGAAGATGAAATTCGATTAATTTATGTCATTCATTGACACTTTGAAATCTAAAACCTGAAATCAGATTGGTCAGAGCCGAGTTACATGACTTCTTTTTCTCTTGTTGAAAAAAAGTAGTCAATGGAGCTATTAGAAACTATTCGAGTTATGAGCCAATTCTTGAGACTTACAATGTTGAAGAAATTAGGTGATTGTTCAATTTAATCTATTACTTTATATGTCACTTAAACTTTCACTTAAATAGAATCAAAATTTGAAGTGAAAGAGTCACTGTTGAACTCAAGTACTTGGTTTACTTGGTTTTGGCATCTTTATGTTGAATATTTAACTTAAGTAATTCATTTAGTTGACTTTTGCATCTTTATATATACTATTGCATCTTTAATACTTTATTGGGTGGGTTTTGTTTTTTTTTTTTTAAACATGCGCCTTGCTTCAGTCGGGCGCGCGCCTCGCCTTGCGCCTCAGGCTCCAGGAGGTATTTGTGCTTTTGTGCGCCTTGAGCCTTTAACAACTATGCATCAAAGGCATATTTGGAGATCATTGTGATAGTAAAAAAAAAAAATCTAGGCTGCAACAGGGTTTAGGGGAAAAAAGTGCTAATAGTACCATGCCACACAAATTTTACTTTATCTCCTCCACCAAAGCCCCAAAGAACATGTGAAAGGATTTTTAAGTGAAAATTCAGATACGAAATGGTGATCAAAGCATTTTTTTTGTCCAATTTATTTCAACAGAAAAATTTATTAGCCCTAGACATTGAAAAAAATATACAATGTATAAGCATAATATGTAGGGACCATTACACAAAATTAGTTCCGCCAATGCGAGGCACCGAGGGATGGATTGTGTGTGGAACTAACATTAGACATATAAATAAATATATAGTAGCATTCAAATCGGGCACCAAAAAAAAAAAAAAGGTTGTTGCACAATGATTAAAGTTTGGGCATAACATTTAAAAGGGAAAGCAGGGTTAAGAGTTTTTGTTATAGCCAATAATCAAAATACAACATGCTAATAGCAATATACATAGCAAGTAAATCCCCCCTTTTTTTTTTTTTGTGTGTGTGTGTGTGTGTGTGTGGGGGGGGGGGGGGGGGGGAAGTTAAATTGAAAAGGGCTGATTTGGAAAAAGAAAAAGTGAATACCTGAAGACGGAAAAATCTCAATGTAGACAGTATGATGCAACCTAACACCAAACGAACTAGAAAAAAGAAAACAAATAAATCAAGTGCCTTTAACCAAATATACACTTCATATTATGTTTAATAAAGCAAAAGGTAACGTTGTAACATAAGAAGAAAAACAAAGATGCTAGCCCAGGCATTTATATTATATATTAACTAGTTCAAATACAATAGATACAACAACTGAATATCATGAAAGGCCCATCATTGATGGAGAAACTTATGCAATACATGCAAAGGAAGCCAAATATGTAATACCCCTAATTTTGAAAGGATAGTCTCGGTATTATTTAAATTATTTTAATTGCGTTTTAATTATGGCTAATTGTTTACTTGTTTAATTAATTTAATTATTTGTTTATGTGTTAATTGAATTGGTTATTTAAATTAAATGGTGTGCTAAAATTATGTATATTTGACTTATTTGTTTAAATTAAATTATATATGATGATGTGTATTTGTTTGGGAATTTAATATATTGTAGTTACCTTTTTAGTATTTAAATTTTAGTTTATTTTTATTATTAGTTTGACTTGGATTGGGAAAAGGATTTTTGGGTTATTTTAGTTGCCTATAAATATATAACTATAGGGTTGTAAAAGGGGTTAGAACATAAATCACATAATATATTCTAGAGGGAGAAAGAAGGAAGACGAAGGAAGAGAAAAAGGAAGAAGGAGGCTAGGGTTTTTATCAAATCCCTAAAGGCAAGTTCTAATTCTTCTCTTCTCCTTTGATTCATACCCTATGCATGCTAGATTAATTCCAGGTTTATTAAATAAATTAATTGGATCTATTTATATAGATTTATTTGAAAATTAATAATGAGTTTGTGATAAATTTTCATATTTTGATAAATTAAATTTTCATGTGCTGTTATATATCATGATTTTAGTATGAAGCGGTTTGTATATATAAACTAGATTAGATTAAAGTTGTTCATATATGGTCTGCGCGCGGAACGAAAAATGCTCCAATTGAATCAGTTTGGTGTTTATATATGAAATCAGTTTTGGGTATTTGTATAAATCAATTTTGTCTTCATACACGCCGAACGATGTACAATTACTTTTAAGGAAAAAGGTTATAAAATAATAATGGAAGTTTGTTTTTCCTTACAAAACATGCACGTCGAATGAGGAGACCCATGATGATATTGCTTTACGGAATATATATAAAATAAGCTTCCTAGAATCAGTTCCTAGAATCAGTTTGTGTTGTGAAATTCGTAACTTGTTCTTTATATGTGGGCACGTGGAACGAGAAAGGAGAAAAAGTAAATAAATGTTTTTCTTTAATGGGATTGCATGGAATATTTAAGCAAATTATTTTTAATTATTCTGTATGTGTTCTCTTTTGATTTTGTTTTGATTAGATGTGTTTACATTTAATATTTTTAACTGTAAGTCTGATTAAATGCTAAGATATTAAATTAATATTGTGGTTTTTGGTTGATGGATCGATAATAAATATTTATTTAATGTAAGTAGATTCATTAAGAATTGGAATCCATGATTTAAGTTTACATGCTAAGCATGGAATTTAATTAATTTTAAAAGGATAAATTAATTAAATATTCTTGGATTAAATTATTTTAATCAATTGTTTAGATTTAAATTAATTTAATCAGAATATGGAGATGAACAATTTAGTTGAGATGCATGTTAATTTCTTGTGATGTAAATTAAATGCATGCTAATTAGAATTGATATTTTTGTTCAAATAAATGCAAAAGATATATATATGATTTATATCATGTTTATTTGAATTATTAGATGTAAATATTATTTACATTATCCTTGGATCGGAAACTTTTATTTGGTTATGATATGGATTAATGCACCATTATGGGATGGGGGCATATTAGGGACGGATTAACTTAAGAGTTAAGTCCTACCTATTTTTAATAAGGGAACGGATTAACCACAGTGTTAAGTCCTACTTATTCGTGTCAGGTCAACGGAACAGTTGGATGACATGGTTGGATATGACGGATTTTACATATATAATAATACACCATGATATGAGCTTGAGTCTCAGGATCAGTGGTTAGGATGCGTATATTGCCAGGGATGTGTAGCTAGATATAGTGTAGTTGTGTACCCTGGTAGGTCTAGGTACTCATGCCCACTATAGGTGCGTTTTGCATGTTACCTACTATTCAGGTTGAGACAACTCTATAGTCTAGTGAGGTTCCTTTAGTGTGTATATATCTATGTATGGAGTATTTAGTTATTGTTGAATTAATTAGGATGCGTACGTGTATCGGGTCTCTGTTTGGGATGCAGTAGATTAGAACTTGTATGTGGGCCTGACCCACCATTATTTTTCAGGTGTTCGTCAGTTCCAGTCTTAGAGATTGTTCGTGCCGAGCAGAGACATCCATTCACTCTTCCGACTCTACGTAGGACTCCTCTTCATTAGTTACTTCCTATTTTTATTTCGGTTCGGTTATTTCAGTTAAAATATTATTAGGGGTCCACAATATGGATTCCCGAGTTGTAGTTTAATTAATTACTGATATCAGAGGATTGGAGGATTTTAGTATGGGATTTTTAATTATCATTTATTTGAGGTTTTTTTTTAAATGAGAATTATTTATTTAGTTTTCTTTTCAGCTTCTTTATTTATTCTTAATTCATCTTGTATTCCAATGCTTGTTTAAATATTAATTGTTTGATATCCCTTGTATTCTGTGCTCGGACTTGATCACCCGTGGCTCTAGAATCGAGGGGTATCACAAAATATCATTCAAATAAGGTTATAAAAATCACAATGATAAAGAAAAATAAAATGACAATAATGCACCTTGAGGTGCAAAGTCATGCATCCAACATACTATCATATAAAAGCATCAGAATATATGTACAGTTGTGTAATATGCCTTTTTTGTAAGTAGTTTAATATCCAAATATTCACGTATCAATAAAATAATAAAAAAGAAAATCTAATAGCCATTGCACATATATTACTCTTCATACTCAACCAATGCAAAACAAAATGAAACCATCTACAACAGGTTGACCGTGATAAAATTAGGTGTATAGAAGTTTGTGTTTCAAAATTCATCACTAGAACTTCTAGTTCTTGTAAATGTAATATCAAATTATTACACCCATTTGATCTGACTAAATTTGATATTTCAGAGTCAGCCTGCCCCAAACACTGAAGTGCTCAAAGTAAAAATACAATTTTTTTTATAAGAAACAAGAATATTTATGGTAAAAAAAGAATACGAGTACAAGCAAAAGAACAAGATGTCTTCATATTAAGAATCAAGAGAATCAAGAGACGAGATATCCTCCATAATATTATTCTCCACCTGTGACAAATCTCCTTCAGAGTGGCCATAAAAAAACTTATTTTTGTAAAAATACTTCAATTTGACTGGCACTCTGTGAATGGAAAAGTATAGACATGATCTAAGTTAAATCACAAGTCGAAACTTACATTTTCAAAGGTTTTAGTCATGTTAAGAATACAATTAACTCATTATTTCTTGAAAGTCTTGTCACATTGATTAATTGATTCATTTGAATAAAAGCTTATATAAAGATAAGAAAAACTAAACCATCAAACATGAGCTTTTGAGCTCCCCTTTTGCATAAGTGACATTCTTTTCTTCACTACAAATAATAAATGATAGAAACATTTTGCTCAAAAGAAGCCTTTTGGATTACTTATCAAAATAAATAAATTGACACAAAGCAATTCACATTACTTTAAAGAAACTGCACCCTGTACAGAAGTGCACAAAATAACAATTAAACTCAGCGACGGCAAAAGATCGACTTTCTTTAGCTCAAATACAGGTGATTTCTACTGCTATCCTTTTTTTTCATTGTAATATTACACCAAAAGTAGTATTATGATAAGCACGTTGAGAAGCATTTTAGTTGAACAGGATCATATGAGCATTCTCAAGTATCTAATGGACTGACCTGCAAAAAGACTATAAATCTTTGGAAAGTTTAGCACATTGATTGCTAATATGATTGGAGATGCCAAAATTGAAACAAGCAAGGCACCTACAAGAAAGACATTAGTTAATAGTTAATGCAGAGCAACTTCAACCTCATTCAAAAATAGCATTATGCTGAGCAAATCAATTTAGCTCCTACTATGGGGACATATAGCTTCTTATCAGCCAAAATAGTATACTCGAAATAAAATCCAAACATGAAAATGTTTAACGTCAATGGGCAAATTGAATAATACGATAAGCGAGTCATGTCCATGGTGAGATTCAGAGGTCACTTACTGCCCTCCTTGAGTGATGAGGGTTGAGGTTTATAGGGGCAGTGAGGTCTTGTTTTTGTTATTTTTCTTCTTTGTTGAGTTGTTGAGTTCCTCTTTGAAAGATTATTGATCCTATCCTCTCTTATATGGTTCCTTTTCTTCATCTCATCATCACCATCCTTGCGGGTATGGGGTCAGCCACATAAATTCTCGTTTCCATTCATTTGTATTACAAGTCAGTTCTCCTATTATACTTAGGTCTATTAAAGTCATTTCTAATTACTCCATGTGGATTTTAGTTGCCCTCTTTGTCCCTTACATTCTATGCAAACTAATCTTCATTTTTATACTAGTATATCTACAGTTTATATTGTATATTTCCATACCACCTAGGTCTACTTTATCTTATTTTAAAACTTAGAGACATCATTTTCTCCCTCACACATGTAGTATTAAATCTATTCTTTTAGTCACTCTTATCATCCATCTCAGTATTGACATTTCAACAACATAAAGAGTTGTCTTATTTCCTTTTTAATACCAAACACTCCGTTGTGAATGAAATATCTGTTCTAATAGCTATTATATAGAATCTTCCTTTTTAACTTTTCTTTTAGCCTACCTTTATTTTGTCCATTTTGCTCTGCTCCCACTAATTACATCATCATCTATTGACCTGTCCTTTTGTATTAGTGATCCTAAATATAGAAAATAGCTATTCTGTGTACTCATTTGGTCTTAAATTGTCATCATTATAATAGCATTTTCTGGAATTTCATTAAATTTACATTCCATGGATTATTAAGTCTCCTGATTCTAATGTTAATATCAAGTCTAGTGTTAACATTTCCTGATTCTAGTGTTAATATTAAGTCTCCTTAAAAGTATAATATAGCACTAAATAAACGGCAAACAAGAAACAAAAGATTAGGATAATGATTCACTACTTTCCTCCAATTTTAATTGCATACATATTGAATTTAGATAGGCCTAACGACTCAAAGAGTTGAATATTATGGTTTTGAATGTTGATTAAATTGACTTTCCATCATTTATGTGAAAATACAAGTTCAAAACTCATGGACAAGTGACTCCAGCCTAAGCAAAACATTATTAAAACATACAGTGAAGTAACTTTTTACACATCCTTGATCAATAATAGGAACTAGTCTTTGCTGCAATCTAGGCCTACCCATGATCCTTGGGCAAAAAAACAAACAAAAGCATCGCAAAAGAAAAAAGAGGTTATTTGTATTTGTTTTAATTCAATCCGATGCCAGGGTGTATCCTTTTGGCAGATTTGAATTTCTTTTTTTTCTTTTCTTTTGTGGAACGTCAGATGATTTTTCATGTGTAAGTAATGCCATGGGACAGGACTTTTTGGCACTTCTGTTCACACCAACTCTCCTAAGTGAAGCTTCAAATTTATCATATCATGGTAAAAGAGTGACGTAACATCTAACTACACAATGATACATATCTTTGTGGGATCATGCATGTTATTGTACTAGGTAGAGAACAGAAAATACTTTCCAAAATCATAAAGAATGTATAAAAAGCTCCTAATAAACCCTTGAAAAAATAGAACATACCAATGAATGTGCGAGGAACAACTCCGGGGAAATCCAAGTGATCATACTGATAATATGATATCAGAAGAGAGACATCACAATCAAACAACTAGGTCTAAAATCAAATATAGTTCAATCCAAACTAGTAAAAGAGACAGATTGAGAGCACAGACAATTAAACTTACATTTTCTATGTGATGCCGATGATACAAAATATCGTGCATTGCCTTAACAAATAAATAAAGAAAAAGTATTAGTTTAACTCTCACTGTTTGATTTTTGATGAAACAAATATGAGAAAAAAATATTGATGAGAAATCGAAGATTCAAATTCTTAAACCAAAAACAACATAAAGCTGTGTTTAATTGTCGATAGAACTAAGTGAAGTTTTGAATTACTGATAAACAAGGAATGCACCTGAACATTGAAGCTTTCTTCAACCTTTGTGTATGGTGCCATGAATACGTAAAAAGCAGCAATCGATCCCAAAAGCAAATCATAACCTAGCAGAGACAAATTGAAACTCATGAGACAAACACACATACATATATATATATATATTGGAATTTAGAGTGTTCAAAAGCGAATTATAACTTCAAAATAGCATCAATTTACCATAAAGCTCCAGAAATTTCAGTGACTTGTGAGCCATTTTCACAGACGGAGAGAGAATGTGTTTTTTTAAGTTTTAAATAGCTGCTTTTCAAGAAAATGTCAGCTTAATCTATCCCTTGGGCCTGCTTGTCGGGCTTGGGCTGTTTTATTGAATGCAAAATGATCTCGGGTCGGAATTTAGATCAACCCAACATTCCTAGCTTGCTTTCAGCTTTTTAAAAACAATTTCGAAACTTTTTTTAAAAAAATATTTCCAGAACAAATCTCTAAAAATATATATATATATATATATATATATATATTTTATTGAATTTTAATAAATTACAATTTAAAAACTTTTTATATAATTTTTTAATTTTCAATAATATGAAAATTGTAAACTATCCTCATCAAGCAAACCTAGAGATGTATACCAATTATGCATAAAGGCTAAATTACATAGGCATTCCTTTATTATAAAAATTAAAGTTTTTATATTATTTTAAATGTTTGTAGAATCCAACTAAATTATCAAAAAAATAATAAAGCATTTATATAAGTGATTTTACTTGTATTTATATTAACTCTTACACATGCCACTATAAAATAAAATAAAAAAATAATCGAATATTGTGTGTAGCCTAATATGTTTGTTAAAGTGGAACGTCACAAATACAATCTCACTGTTAAAAAGATTTAAACATTCAACCTCTTACTACTAGATTAGTAGTTCTAAGCATGTGAATGTATTTTTTGCATATTATATATATATTCACATTTATGTTCATTCTTGTATTTTTAGAAGTTTATAATATTTTAAAGTTCAAATTAAATTTTGATTTTTAAAAAAAGTTAAAAAAAAAAATGCTGTTAACTTTTTTTTAGAAAAAAATTGATTTAAAAAAAAAAAAAAATGAATGGCCCACGAACCATCTCAAATTTTATTACAATAAGTATGCAATTATGAGTGTCTAAAATCTCAATTATTAATCCCCTAACAAACCTTCTAGAGATTGTCACATATTGACCACTCGTTGGTGATTTGTGCACTCGAGTGTAGGGAATGTTAGCTCTTCAGAGAAATCCGTGGTTCAGGTAGGCGAATATTCCCTCTTGCAATTAGGGTTAGGGTTTGTATTTCAGACCCAACACATATATAAATCCCATTTTAGTGCCCAGTCTCTCTCACTAAAGCCTGAGACCAAGAGAGCTTGAAATTATATACAGGAGTCATGGAACAGACATTCATCATGATCAAGCCTGATGGCGTCCAGAGAAACCTGGTTTGTTCCTCGTACACTCTAGTCTCTTTGTGTGTGTATGTGTTGGTTCTTAGTTATATATATATATATATATGAGAAGATCTAAACTAGCATATGAGTTTTTATGTTCTGGGCTTTGATTTTTTTTTTTTTATGCAAATTCGATAAGTGCTATTTTTCGAGTGTTTAGATGTTAAAGAAGTGTTGGAAAAGAGGAAAGGAGGTCCATCTCGTTGCGAACTTTATAAATTTTGGGGATGACGAACAGTTTAAGTACTTTCTGGGTTTGTTTATTTTCCTTTGTTAATTAAATTGTTCAGTTTGGTGGATTCGGTGTGAAAACGTTGGAAGAGAAAGATGATGGAAAATATTTTATTTTTCTTCTCGTAGAAGTGCCAGAGTACTAAATCCAAAAATCAATTATAGTTGTCTATATTGAATCAGCTTTGCCCTGTTTTTGGATATCTAAGCGACAGGATCATAAGATTCAGTTTATTTATTTATTTTTTAAAAGAAAATTCTTTGAACCAACAACATGGTCTGTTGTTTCATTTTCTGGTTCAGAAATGTTCATTAGTTGTATTCGAAATTGATGTTTTATTGATCATATGAGATTTTATTACTGTGTTTCAGGTTGGCGAGATTATTGGCAGATTTGAGAAGAAAGGTTTTACTTTGAAAGGTAATATTCTCCTTTAGAGTTGACTAGCTAGATCATGTCATGTTGTTATTATAAGTTCGGGATTCCCTTTAATAGATCAGCTTGATCTGATTATTTGATCCAGAATTTTGTGACTAGATTCTGAGTATCCTTCAATAACGCAAACTCCCTCTCTCTCTCTCTCTCTATGTATATATATACCTCTCTCTCTCTCTCTCTCTCTCCCTCTATATATATATATATATATATATATATGTTGTGTAGATAAGTAAAAGTATGCAGGAGAAATGTAACATGTTGTCAATCTCACATTTTGGATGTTGATGTGCCCAATAAGACTTTTAAAGTGGTTCTCTAGGATTTTGTTGTTAACTTGTCATACTCAGGATTCACTTTTAGTGAAAACTTCTATTTATTTGATAATTACATGCGTCCTTTTGTAACTTTGATATCTTCAGGCTTGAAGCTCATGAGTGTGGATCAATCTTTTGCCGAGAAGCACTATGCAGACTTGTCCGCAAAACCCTTCTTCAATAAGCTGGTTGAGTACATTGTATCTGGTCCAGTTGTTGCAATGGTTTGGGAGGGTAAGAACGTTGTTACCACAGGTCGGAAGATCATTGGAGCCACAAACCCCGCTGATTCTGCTCCTGGCACCATTCGTGGTGATTTCGCCATTGACATTGGCCGGTAACATGTTTCCCCTGCTAGTTTGATTGATAGTATTTTATATGCGAATTTCACTTGCTTGTCATACCCATAAGATTACATGGGTGTCGATTATTTTGTCCGATCTCACACTAACTGAATTTAATTCAACCATTAATGCAGTGTAAAATCATATCTTGTATAGATAAATGGTTTTACATTGTGTTGTTACATCATCTGATTGGTATTGTTTTGGGACCAATGATGATGAATTTGGTCTGCATAATGAGCAATAACTTTTGTTAGAAAGCAATTTATAAAAATAGATTAAGCAGGGGAATGTTTCTGTGCAGAATCACTGCAATGCATTTGCACTATTGTCTTGTTTATTTATAACATCTTTTAAGTTGCGAGAGATTTTCTTTCACACATACTCGTAAAATTAACGTCTCCTTGGGTACAAATATCTTACCTGGATAAATCATTCTTTGCTTTGTAGGAATGTCATTCATGGGAGTGATGCAGTTGAGAGTGCAAGGAAGGAGATTGCACTCTGGTTCCCAGAAGGCGTTGCGAACTGGCAGAGCAGCCTTCACCCCTGGATCTATGAATAACTTTTCTCGGGTCGTGACCGTGGCTCCTATTATCTCTGGCTTTTGTTATGGTTATTTAATATTGGCAAACTTTGAATTTTGACTGTGATTTAGTTTTAAATCCTAATGTTTTAGGCTGCTAGCCTACCTATGAACCTAAGTTACGTTTATCAGGTTAATCTTATCATCACGGTGCTCGGCATCAATCTGGTTGGTATGCCCTATATTTTGTATAACCTATTTATATTGTTCATAAGCAGTTGGTTTATGTGAGCCGGATGTGTTGGGAGTGAAAGATGAAATTATAGATTCTATGGGTAAGTGCGTAGAAGTTGTGGCATTGGGTTTTGGTGGTGTAGACCTAGTGCAATGTCGCAGGTAGGGTGGTTGTTTTATATACAACTATGCTCAGCTTTCGACAAATAGCTCGAGTTCAGCTTGTTAAAGTGTCGATTTGTGTTCGTTTGTTTAATAAACGAATTAAACTTGAACAAAAATTTTAGGCTCGTTTAATAAATTAGTCAATCTCAATTCGCTTTGTTTGTTCGTGATGTTCGTGAACTTGTTCACCGAACAAGTTTAAAGGCTTGTTTGGTGCTTGAAATATATATATATATACATATATATAAATGCAAGTATATGTAGTGGCAATTTGTGTTCGTGGGTTGTAATTGTGTTGTGTTAACTTATGGGTATTATACTAAACAGCTCAATTCGATTAATAATCGTGTCAAGAGTTCTCAACATTAACACGACATGTTTATCGAACGGGTTACACTTGTAATTCGTTTAATGACCTATTTATAAAATATATATATATATTATTTAAATTATTAATAATACTCAATAAATATTAAAAAAAAAAAAATACAAGTTTTAATTAGCCAAATTACTAAATAGTTTATTCACGCCATATATAGTTAAACGTATATAAACGGATTATACGGGTTGAATTAACTAAACGGGTTAATCGTGTCAACCCGTTTATGACCCGAACCCGTTTAAGGTTAACCCGAACCCGTTTAACTCGTGTCGTGTTCGAGTTGTGTTGGCGGGTCGTATCAACTTTTGCCACCCCTATATATATACTCTATCCGACCTATAAAATTTATTCATTTTGGGAATTGTGACTCGCAAAGAAAGGGTGGTTGTTTTATATACAAAAACTGTTGAGCTGGGCTCGAGTTTGCCCAAAAATTGTCTAGCTGAGCTCAAACTTCTATCCAAATAAGCTGAGCCAGAGTTTGTCCAAAAATTGTCGAGCTGAGCTCAAACTCCTATCCATAGCTGAGCCGAGCTCGAACACCCCCCAAGTTTGGCTCATTTACAGCGCTATATACAACCCTTTTGAGTAGAGAAGACATCTTGTTTGAAAATCGAAGTACCCGGTGAACTAGCAAAACCTTGTTCTAATTGGGCTCGTTTTTCAATCGAAATTTCTGTGTTTCTGTTTTTGACCGATAATGTGAGTGAATTTTTCCAAGCAAAAACATGATTGGTAAGAAAAGTATTGTAAGTTTGAAAAACAAAATGGTCAGTAAAAAAAAAGTTACCATCCTGTCAACTTTTTGTTTACAAATCCCTATTTTTATCCTTTTAAATCAGGACGAGAAGGATAAAACAAGTTTGGCTTCAAGCATTTCTAAGCTTTTACGGAGTCCCGAAGGAAATTTGCTTTTCTTATATGAACATTATATAGGAGTCGAGGAAAGAAAAGAAAAGAAAAGGTAATATTCCATCTTGGAGATGCATTTCACAACTCTTCTGTCTGTCTTGCAATGGTTATAGCACAGAAAGCTCAAATAGTGCAAAAAAGAACAAAGTTAAACTAGAAATACCATCTCATGTCACTTTAAAATCAAGAGTCACTAATTAAACCAGCCCACACTGTTTACTGTTTTAGTCTGGGTAGTGCCTGTGAGAGGACAACTCATATTTCACAATCAACACGCATCTGCGCTCCCGAATTACTGATTCTACCACTACAATCACAAACTCAACCACACATTTCTCCGAGAAAGGAAGTCAGAAGATAACACAGCTCTCAGGTTATGTTAGAAAAGCATCATATCGTGGAAAAACGTGTATTAAAAGAAAACTGAGAGAAAATGGACTACTAGAAAAGGAAGCTAATGGCATCAAATGGTTGCCTGAATCTTACTTAAAAAGCCATTTTGTTCTATATCTCACAACTACACTATCTGGAAAGAAGGTTGTATGAGGGTAGGTCTTCTAGACGTGTTATATCTTCTTGCATAAGCTCCCTTTCCAGCTGACGACGCGTAGCTTTCATCACCGACTGTAAGGAAAACATGATAAAAGAAGACAACAATATTAAAAATAGAAGTATATGTACTGTAAATTAGGCAGAGTCTAACTTCAGTAACAATCTTAAGTAATTTGCATATCAGTATCGTGTAATACTGCAGAATTTGTTTTGGGCTGCATTTGTTTCGATGCAAAACAGTTTTATGGTAAAACATTTTTTATGTAAATCTTTTACATTTAAAATGATTTCCTTTTGGTGTTTACATTGACACAAAAAAATACTTTTGAGAAAAAGAAGCATAGGGCAAAACGAAAAAAGACAAAAGAAAAAATGAACTGAAAAGCTGCAGCAGAGTACAAAATGATTACCATCATCATCCCCTTTACAGTTAAAAGGTAGATTACATATGTATAGTTCTATATCTTAGAGAGATCTATAAACTGCAATTTTACAAGAACTGGTATTGACATGTGTGTGTGTGTGAGCAATGAGATACTGGACTGGAGCGATGAAGATATACTTGTATCAATCTCATCAAATTGGCACTAAAAAAAAATATATATATATATATATATATAAACACACACGATACATAGAACAGGTACTCTATTCTTCATGTTCAAACATGATTATCTGCTTCTAGCATATAGTGATGTGAGCGATGAGATTGGTAAAAGGTACTGACAAAATCCGATTAATCCAAGGTACAATTCCAATCTGAGCAATGACTTGCGAAGTAGGATGATTTTTTATTGATATGAGTAGGTGAGAGAGACATGAACATATCCTCTGTTCTTGAAGATGAATGGGTAAAATGACTAGCCCATTTTAGATGGGTAAGTTATTTTTCTTAGAAAGGGGTAAAATATTTTACAAGAAAAATGTTTTACTTAACTTTATGTGCAACCAAACATGGAAAATAGGAAAATATTTTCCAAAAAATGTTTACGATGTTAATTTTTTTCTAAAAACATTTGTCATTTTTTAGTACACATTTTATAAAAAACTGAAAAAATATTCTACATGAAAAATATAATCAAATAGCCAAAACAGCTTACTGATTCAATTCCATGTATAATTTCTGGACTCTTTAAAGTGAGAACTCTCTACGTTACCCGAGAACAAACTACTAAAGTTGGAACTATCAAGTTATTTCTTATTCTCTACTACGCAGTTGCAAAACAATTTCTTAAAATCCCACATTTCTAGGGTTAGCAGAATCAAAACTGTACATTTCTCAGTTTCATCTACACAACCGTTATAATCCTTAATTTTGTTGGCATTAAGGGTCAGCTATGGAATTATACAGACTTTACTCAGGGACACATATTATCTGCCCAAGAATCGAAACGGTTCCATCAGCAGGAGTTTGGGCAATTTTAAATGAGATATCAGGACTTGCTTTTACTTGAAGAGGCCAACTTGACAGAAGTTTTGAGGAAGAAATTGGACTTACACGAGATGCCAATGATGGCAGTGATGATGCCGGGTATGGGAGTTGTCGTGAGGGTGCAGGCCTCACGATGAATGCCAGAGTAGCTGTGAAGGGGGAGGAGTAAAAGGAATAGTATTCAGCTTCTAATTTGAAGCTTGGAGGAGGTTCCATTCTGGAGCAAAGATTAAGATGATCAAGGAAGCAAGAGTGTGTATTGGTTTTCGGTCTAAGGACACAAAAGATTCAGTGAAGGTGGCTTCCCTTTTAAAAGGAAGAAGCAGAGAAGATAATTGAAAAGAAGGTTATTGTTCATATTGTTAGGATTTTAGGAATTTAGCCAATTTTAGATTGAAAAATGAACAAGATGATTTTAGGATTCTGGCCAAACAGCAAAAAATAAGAGGAAAGAAGTCCATTTTACATAAAAATGTTTTATGACAAAACATTTTATGTTGAAAAAAATGGGGCGTATATTAAAATCTCTCAAGTCTTGACAAGTTAACCTTAATGTGGAAGTTTTATAGTCAAATCACCAAAAAACAAAATTGGTACAGGGCAGCGAGATGCATTGGGCCAGTTGGAAGCTACGAAAAAACACATATACACAGACAAGAAAACAAAAAACAAAAGAAATTACGAAGAAAATAAGTTTTGCAGGTCAACTTCTGGGGGGACAAAATTGCTGGCTTCATGAATGCAAAAGAAATTACAAAGAAAATAAATTTTGCTGGTTAACTTCTGGGAATTTTTTTTAAAAAAGCTGCTGGTTTCATGAATGCAAAAGCACTTATGAATTAAGAACTAGAACCTTTCTAATTAAAGAACACTTACGTTGAAGTCCATGTATGACGCACGCATGGCAAGCCATTGATGATCCATCAGCTTGAATGTGATGCAATAGAGAAGATCAAATGCTGATTCACTTTCTGTCGGTCAAAGACAAAGACAAAAACATTTTTAATAAGAATCAAAATACTGACAACAGTTCATTGAGACATAGAACTAAATGAAGAATAATTAGTTTGCTCCTATTATCAAATTCATTGAGCATTCATCTCATCAGATCATTAATGAAAAACTGAAAATTTCATATTACTTTGCAAGTCTATAGATGCATACTAAATTGATCTCAACGTGTTTTTTTATTAGCATTTTTTAATAAAAAATCCATTAACAATAAATAAGAAAGAAGCTATTATAGGTCACAAAAAATGGCCCCACGTTACCTGCAAAGAACTTCAAAAAAGTTGCTCCTGCCAATGTTCGTGGCTTTACTGCATAATACATCAAAGAATTAGCTAATGAAAAACATGGAATTTGAAATCTATATTTCTTTCACGGAATTAACCAAGTCAGAATACATTGGTAGCCATGTATATTTAAACCACCTTCAAAACCATTTGCCAGACCTCTTGGGCACGTAGCAATAAAGAAACTTGTTCATGGTCAAAGGACCATTTCTTGATATTAAGGAATGGTTGGTTGATCACTACTCTAAGTTTTTGCAGCTCGGAATCATCAATCTGTGACCCAGGATGTAGAAGCAAGTAGTCTGGTGTAAACCCATGCTCTTCTCACCGAGGTGAAGGTACCTAACTATCTCTACGCTTACATGAAAAAAAATGTCCTCCCAATATAGGAAAAGTTCTAGGTTGGCAGACCATGACCTTGGTATGCTAAGAAATGAAATCGTTCGATTACTTTGTTAGTTTGTTAGCATGAATTTTCTTTCCTTTTCTTTTCTTTCTTTCTGTTTATTTTGGGTGGGGATGGGGGGGCCCAGGTATAATGGTAAAATAAATGAAGCCCAACTTGCTGAAAAACAAAGTTCATCCTGCTTTGAAGCTGTTTACAACTTTACATAAACAAATTAGACTCGTACAAAGACTTCATATATAGAAAGAACTCATTTCAAGTTTTACGAAAGAACGACTCCAAAGGAAACATGGGATACAAGTTCCATTCATGGTATCATTCTGAAAAATTCACTAGATATGCAAAATCTCTCGTCGAGAAAGATAAATCCTCATCAAATATTCAAAACAATACATACAACAAAAATACAAACCAGCTTCAAGATCAAGCATCTGAATAAGCATGAATGTGATGTTTACACCAGCTACAGCAAATGGGTACTCCCACATGGCCCGATCACCTTCCTGTTTCCATAGAAGATCCTGAAAGGATTTCTGCAGAAGCATATTTGATAAATTTTAGGATGAAAGGATGATAAAATGAGTGCTATATAATATAAGGTAAAATATAGATTCCTAACCACCCAAAATAAGTTAACACCATTTGAGAAAAACTTGATTTTTGCACGCTTCCACTGCTAACATTGTTCAATGTGTATACATGCTTTAGGAAGGGGAAAACTGAAAGAAATTGACATAGCTGACAGGGCCCTCACGCAATGCCTTCAATGTAAAATTATGCCTCCTATATTAGCAATTTAGCATAGTTGAGCGAAAGCATGGGGAACCAAAAGTGATAGCTTTTCACAGTTGAGCAAATGCAAGGGGAGAAATGATAGATTTTCCCCCTTTAGTAGTCATAACATGATTTGCTTTCAGCTTTTAATGCTCACTTAACATGGCGCACACTTGTCTATGCCTGTGAATTCAGCATTTAAACAAGTAAAATATGGAAAGGAGGTCAAAGCAGAAAAGGGGACAAGACACCGAGAAAAACCTTAGTATATTGGCTTCACTAAGAGGAATGCAATCAAGATCAAGTTTTTATCCTAATGCACAAGGAGCATAAAAAATATCACTAATTGCCGCAATGTCTTTGAAATCTTTGTGATAGATCGAATATCTTTAAACATACGCATTTTTTTAATTTGATTTATTGTGCACTTGGTTTTGCAATTGCACCGTTATATGGTACATTGTTTCAAACCACATATTTATTTGTTCCTTTCAAAACAATGAGGAACCAAATCTATTCATCTTCTCTAACAATCATACACGGCAAACCGTCAAAATACTTTCGTCATTGCCCCATCACATTACTACTTCATTGAATTGTTGTATTGTTATTTTTATTCACTTATTTATTTGGTTTTTCTATCAAAAACAAACTTATGTACAACAATATATGTTTATTAGCAAGTATTTATTTATTTAGGAATTTTTATAAATTTTCAAAAATTTCTATCAAATCTATTAATTTTCTGCTTTTTTTAAACTCACTTTTATCTACATTTTGAAAGAAGAAAAAAAATTAAACATTGTTTCATGTTTACACTATACAACACTAAATATAATATATATATATATATATATATACATGATTTAATAACTTACATCCTTTGGAAAGAAATCCAAAATATTTGAATAATTAGTAGATCCCACGAATAAGTATATTAAATTTAACGAAAAATAGCATTTTCATGTTAGATCTAGGTAGGGGAAGGAGAAAAAAAAAAAAAAAAAAAAAAAAAGTTACAATCCTACAGATTATTAGCAAGATCTGGAAGTTTTAATTGGATATATACAGGTGTTTTTGGCGTTTGGATTCATAGATCCAAGTGTTTGAAGTGGTAAGAATCTCGTGGGTTCACGTTTTGGAAAAAAAACAGCAGGAGTTTCAGTTGGGGGGCCAAAACGACGCCATCTCAAGAGTGATGGAGCAGTCACAAAGTCACCCTGAGTTGGCCACAAATCAGTCTCACCCTGCTATATCAGTGCGACTTAGCCGCAACCCTGATCAAGTCCATTGCTAGTTGGCTAATTCAGAGTGAGGTTTAATATCTTGAGCTTTATATAGATAACTAAGAGTCTACAGAAGATGTGAATGTTAAGACGCCACATCGTAGTAAATAAACCAATTGTTGTTGCCACATTAGAAGAAGCCACATGACAATACTCCAATCTTAGTAATGTGACCAATCATGTGACTTCCCAAATTGGAGAACTTAATTATTCATTTATTTAAGGGGAAAATGGTGGCTTCCACTATTCCAACGCACAGAAAAGTATTACACTAACCCATTACTACAGTAAAAATTTATTACACCCATACCAAATATACCAGTTCCAATTAAATTAAATAGTCTTCCTCATTCTAGACTAGGTTTTTCGTTATCATAAAATCATCTGGAGGAGCCAACCTTTTCATATTCTCATTTGGCATACAACATGGATCCATGTACCATATGACATTTGTACAGGAAGCATGACTGGGGAAACAACACGCCCTCACATATTCGAAGTGATGCTCCAAATAATGACAAGATACTTGAATGTCTTTTCTTTCTTTTCCTTTTCTTTCTTATTGCTTTTGTTCTTTTGCACAAAAAGAACAAAAGGAAGTTAGAAAGAAAAACACACTTAACTAACAGGCCAGTGGCCTAGCGGTATCAACCTCTTACTTCCCAAAGGGAGGTCGGGTTCAAGTCTCAGAAGAGACAAGTGTGTGTGAGTACCAACTAGGAAAAAAAAATGAAGTTAACTGCTTCAAACAACTTTCCAACAAGAGATGAGACGAGGTCTCCTCAGGGGTGGAGGAAAAACTAATTACTGCTTCTGCAACAACAACTGGTTACATTGAAGATACTAACCTGAGGTAGGCAGATAGAAGTGTAAATCAAATTTATATATAGAGCATAATACATGCAGCCTAGACATTTATCACCAAATCAATGTTGCATGCATACTTAATATTAGATTATGAACATAACTTGGGGGGAATTTGGAACATCTGGGTATTGTTGGCATTTCTAAATACACTTCCTAACTGGCAGGTTAGAAAAACTTTATTTTTTTGGGGGGTGGTGGTTGTTGGTTAAGGAATTCCTGTAAAACTTGATGTCATTGTAACAAAGTATTTCGCAAGTATATTATCTAAGGCAAGGAAAGCCAACGACCGTTGGAGGTACTCACTTGATTAGGAAAATACTAGCTACAAGAAGTCAGGGAAGGGGCCAGAAAATTTTGTGTGTGTGTGTGTTTTGGGGGGGGGGAATGTTTTAGTTTTAATAATTTTAGTGAGGGCAATAGTGGGATTTTATAGGTACATAAGTCAAAAAGAAAAAATCAGCAGGGCTATAATACTAAAAAAAAAATGAGTGCAATTGCCCCCACTAAGTTTTAAACAGGTCCATGCTTGCTTGAAGTTTTAGGAACGCTAAAGAGGAAACTGGCTTTCAACCAAGAGAGTATGCTACTTCCATTATAAAAATAACTGATTCTGGTTTCTCCTCCGCCATTGCCATTCTCTTTCTTTGCCATCATTTGTTCTTCGTTTTATCCTCAGTTTTCCCTTCAGCTTTTTAGTTATTCTTATTTCCCCTATCTTGATAAATACATTTCTTACAGAGTAAAAGTTTCCCAAATACAATAGAGCCACTTATCACTAATAATCATAGTTGAGAAATAACTTGTGTTACAAATGTTTTTTTCTCTAGGATTAAGAATCTCTCCTCCTGATTACAAGCAAGATTTTATAACAACTGGAAAGGGGATCTATGGGGCTCGAAATTTCAAAGCTTGCTATAAGGCCTCCATGCAAGTCTTTAATGGATATTTAATACACTTGCAAATCTCGAGTGCCAACATATTATTTACAAGTAACTATCACTTTTTGTTCTTTAATAAATATCATTTCAAAACCTTTATGCATTCGTTACCAAGTTCTTTGCAGAACTCATTAATAAAACTTTTGGCCACAAAAAACTTAGCCAAGTGGAACGTTGAGAACTCAGGTCCCCAGACGGGCAATTGTGAGTGTGTGTATGCTCGCGCGCGAGCCTTATAATTAATTAATAGAAAGAATATTTGACATCTAAGAACCTTCCCGTACCCTTAACAGATTGTTACATGACTGTGGAGATCAGGGAATAAGCATAGTCAGTCAGTTCAAACATATATGAAATAACACCTGGAATAAGCATTGTGACACATTACACAGCAGCACGTTTCCGTGCTGCTGTGAGTTATCAAGGGAAATTTAGTATATTCAAAAGAAAAAAGTAGTGTAACTCAACACTATTCTTGATATAAATTATTTTTAGAACCCATTTGCAAATACATTGACACCCCTTAAACAGTAATTGTATTGTTGTTAAATTTCTAATGATAAATGAAAACACTATGGCATAAAATAAATTAAAAAAAAAAAAAAAAAATCAGACTATTAGTTCTTAATCTTAAATGAAAACAAGTGCAGTCACCAAGTAATTGTAGCTGGGGAGCACCAAACTACTACTGACAACAGTTCAATATATATAATATTTGACATCTGTTAAGTCAAAGAATAACTTTCAAACATATATTGCAAAACTGAACATACCGGATAATTCTTAGCAAAGTACAATAAGTTCTCCAGTGATATAAAACCACCACCCCTACCGGAGGAATCCACATGTCAAAATTAAGCAACAGGGGGAGAAAACACATCAGAAAACACATCAGCACAAACAAATGAAATGAAGAAAACAAAAGAAATACCAGTGTACCTAAAGTCTGTCGATGGATCTTTTCCTTGCCAACCCATTTCCTTCCACTGCTCAGATATTAAATCACGAAGTTCTTCTTCCGGAAAGGCAGCATTCCACAAAGCCCTCAAAGCTCCCTGCAAAATAGAACCTTACTCTTCAAGATTAATCAATAAATTGAAGTCACACATGCATCAAACAACTTAATGGCCAGGTGGCAGGTATAATTAATAATTTTGAGGACATTCATTTCATCTCTTTGAATCAGATGTCAGTCCTGAAAAGAAAATGGAATCTTGAGGAAGAATAGCACCTGGTGTTCAGGGATTGAACTATCATAGGATACATCTATGCGGTTCTGTAGTCTTTGTAAGCATTCCTCCTAAGAGCACCAAAACGGAAGAAAACATCAAGGATTCTGTGGTATTACCTCGTTGTATCCAAAAAAAAATTGAAAAAACGAAAGATAAAAATGAGAATGGATCATGCGCATCAGGAAAACATGCCATTTTCCACGCTTAAATGATCATCAAATGACATATATGCATGTGTGTGACTTGGTATGCAACTATGCATGCAAACTATATAAAATTGATGCCAGGACCAAATTTGACCATGTAATCTACTTCGCTTAGGTATTCATTTCAGAAGGTGTTTCTTTTTTCTCCCTTTAAAACAAATTAGGAGACCGTATGTAGAAAATGAGTATTTGAAAGCTGTATCAAATACTGCCCAAACTATATATATAAATATGTGTGTGTGTGTGTGTGTGGTTCTAATATTAGTTTCTTGTTTGAACTTTATTTAACTAATATATACTTCAAGCTAATACTTAATACAATAAGTTCGAGCCTTAGAGCAGCCACTTTGGAAAATACCAAATGTCAAGTGTGTCCCAAGACCTCCCTCTTCAAGATCCTGCCATGACAGGACCAGAACAGGGTAATGCCCTTAATACTTTGGGCCAATACGTAATACCATGAAGAGAAAGAAGAAATATTAACTTCAAATCAATCATGCCACATGAATATTACCTGCACAGGAGTCAAATCAAATGATAGGCGAGCATCACTCTCTCTTCTCTGTGCACAGACACAAGAAAGACCTCTGCCTAGCCATGCTGCCGATCCTGCCACAACCTCAGCTGAAAGAATATATATATATATATATATTGGCTGATGATCACGGAATTCTAAATCAACAAATAGCACATGACAGATTTAGTCTAGATTAGCTAGTGATCCGTCATTTCACTTCACAACATGCCCAAAAAAAAAAATTAACGTGACAACAAATTGGCAAATTAGTCTACGGCATCTCCTCAATAAAGGAATACAGTACTATCTGCCATACTATAATATATACACAGGGGGTGGGGGAGAGGAAGCACTTCTAGCAGCTCACTCACCACAATTCTCAATGCAACCAGGCATGAATTTTATATGATCTAATTTCAATTGAAAGATCCAAACTTCTAATAAATTCAACCTGATGAAGGGAAGACAGAAATATGGGGAGGAGAGGGGGAAGGATAGAGGTGAAGAGAGAAAGATATACATGTCCATATATATATATATATATATATATATAGAAAGAGAGAGAGAGGTGCCAAATTAGGATTCTCATAATAAAAAAAATAAAAATAAAAACAACTAAGCGTAATATACCGGAAGTTGAATGGCATGTATTTTCTCGCTCGAGACCTTGCGATATCCTCCTGACCGCAACAAATGATTCACCTCGATCATCCATATCCGCCTTCGAGAGCAACTAAACCGCCATCACACCAAACTCAACCACCTTGGAATCGCACAATCAAAAACAGACCAAACGACAAAAAATCAGAGAATTCTCCAACTAAACTCGCCAAATTCGAACGAAAACCACCAGAACTCGATCTCAAATCCAAAATGCAGAGAAAAACGCAATCGAATCGGATCAAAACCAGTAAATACTTCAACTCCCGAAGATTCAACTCCGATTTATAAAACAAGAAATTCTAATGCTTCCTTCAAAACTTTCCGTTTCTGTAAAGGCAATAACTGGACGAAATGTACCGAAAGTGAATCAGACGAAAGCAGTTCTAGATCTCGAACATCTTCTTGATGAAAAACCAGAGCAGTTCTTGAAAAAAATGCAAGATTTCTTCGCAGATCAAAAAGTTAGGGTTTCAAGATTTGCGATAACGCGAAAGCGGTGAGAAAATGCAAGCTCTGTCTCTCTCTCTCTCTCTCTAAAGTGCACTTTCTTGCTCTATATTTTTGCCGGATTTCTTCGTCTCTGGAAGGATATATGTTGGACGGCCTTCGTGTCCAACACTATAGAGAGAGAGAAAGAGTGGTGGGACCCTACGGCGATTTGTTTTATAACTTTTATGTCATGGGATTTGGAGATTATAATTAAAATTGATAAATTTTAATTTTTAGAGGATAACATAAATGCAATTATTTATGATTTTTACACAATTGATTGTTTCTCCAAACAGTACTTCTCATAAATTAAATTCAGTAACTACTAAAATTAATTTTTAAATTATTAATTTTATCACAAAATATTTCTTTTTTTATTTCTAAATTTAGAGTTGTAAAATTTTGATAGAGTTATAGTTATTGATTCTTTAAAAATTGCAAACTTTGGAGAGAGAGAGATATATATATTCAGATAGTCCCTGAATCAGTCATACACTCCAATTTGAAAAAATAAAATAAAAATAAACTCCAATTTGTCTTAAATTTTCTCAAATTTTGAGTAACCTAAAATTGTTTTTTTAACCTGAATTCTATTACAACTTTATCAAAATTTTGAACAAAATGGTACCTCTAGTTATGTTTTCAATGGTGTCTTAATCAAGTTTTATTTTTTCCTCACAAGTGACAGTCAAGTCAATTGTTTAATAAATATCCTTTACTATTTTTGGACCTCTGGCATTGTGATGTGACCATTATTTCCCTTATTTTCTTTTAGTTCTAGATTGTATCTTTTAGTTCTAGATTGTATTGTTTTTTTTTTTTTTTCCTTTTTCTTTAATTTTTGGCCAGCCATATACACACATTCACTTTTCCCGAATTGTACTTTACTTAATTTTTTTTCCTTTTAAAAGAAATAATAATAAGCCCCTGAATTGATATTATCTCTTATTTTAAAATATAATAATTATTATTTATATATATAATTTTAAATTTTTTTAGACAATACTTAGATCCTTACTAATGAGGAGTTACAATATACTCACCGCTAATGTTGACCTATATTGTCCATTTTTTTTACTACCTGTACTATTTTTTGTTCCATGATGTACCTTTTTTTTTTCTTTTTTCCTCCGATGTCTTCTCAAATAAGATAATTTACTCAATACAGTAATTTATTCAATAGTGACAATTTTTTTTTTTTTTTAATCCAACCAAAACAAATAATTTATTCAACAAAATTAACTTCTTCTTTTTTTCAAAGGTAACTTTAAAAATAATAATAATAATAATAAATTATGGATCTCATCAAAAGAGATAATTTATTCAATAAAGATATATTTTTGAGGTTTTTTTTCTTGTCAAAAGAGAAAAAAAAAAATTAATAGATACTTTTTTTTTTTTTTTGTCTAGTCAAAAGAGACAATTTATTCTACAAAAATTTCTTATTATTCAGTGGAGATAAAAAATATTTTTTGGGTCATGTCAAAAGAGACCTAATATAATAATAAAGATTAGAAATAAAGAGATGAATTTGAAATGATAGTTGTGTCATTTGAAAAATAATAATCATTTACTGTACTTGTTGCTTCTAATTTTATGAAGTGAAAAAGTATTTTTTATTTTTTTTTTACCGAACTTAGATCCTGGACTTTTATTTTGAAAATGAGGAAGCACCCCTACTGTATTTGGTGGTTATAAAGTGAATTGTTTAGGTATGCCCAAAAAACATTAAAAAAGGTGAATTTTTTAAAATGCTTATAATATTACTCATATGTTTTGATATGAACAACTACCCCATCCATGACACAATTCCATCACACCCACTGAGGTGAAAGTTGAGTTGATTCCTACATCACTTCAATGTTCACAATTAGGTAAAGAGATGAATTCAAAATAATAGTTGTGTCATTTGAAAAATAGTAATTATTTATTGTACTTGTCGCTTCTAATTTTATAAAGTGAAAAAGTATTTTATTTTTTCTTTTTACCGAACTTAGATCCTGGACTTTTATTTTGAAAATGAGGAAGCACCCCTACTGTATTTGGTGGTTAATGGTTATAAAGTGAATTGTTTAGGTATGCCCAAAAAAATAAAAAAAATAAAAAAAGGTGAATTTTTTAAAATGCTTATAATATTACTCATATGTTTTGATATGAACAACTACCCCATCCATGGCACAATTCCATCACACCCACTGAGGTGAAAGTTGAGTTGATTCCTACATCACTTCAATGTTCACAATTAGGTGAATGACTATGTGAAAGGGTAGCAACATGTCATATAGGTGTGACAAAAACACATTAATTAACATTAAAAAAACACATTAATTAACATTAAAAAAATGCATTAATTACTAGGAACTGTTGCCTCATTGTAAAGGGATAAAAAACACTAGTCACATGGGGTGTTGGTGGACATGGGCCATAGATCACGATGTTGGATGAGTTCATTTAAAGTTTGTTGACCCACAAACACACCATCAATTTTGCACTTTGAAGTTGCTTGCTTGTTAGGTTCAAACACCTCCAAATTAGGCCCATGGGTCATGGGTCCCCAAACAATGTTTGGAAGTTGTGGGTTGCTTTCCTCTCCCATTCTCCATGATGTCCATGAAGCAACTTTGCACGATCTTTTTCTCTACTTTTTTTATTGAGCATTGTTATTTGTTGCAACACTCACAAGGGAATTGTGATGCGTCATCATCCATGGTTTCTCTTTAGCTATGGAGAGGCCGGAGAGAATCTTGTGGTTGATATTGAATTGATAGATGAAACCTATCAAATTCGATTTTACAGTGAAATTAAATAATTAAATGGGATTCACAGATAATGGTTAACTCTCATCGAGTGATGAAGTGTAGGAAACGTTGAAAAATATCCAAGTCCTTCGTGGTGAACTCTACAAGGAGATGGTAAATGTTGCAACAGTCACCTGTCGCAAGGTTAAATTGGTTCATTCTCAACTACCTCTATTATTCGGGATGAAATCAAAAATTTTTATTCAAATGAAAACATCAAGTTTGATGATTTTTTGGTAAATCCATAATTAGTAGTATGTTGATCCCGTGCTTTCAAACGTAGTTTTATTAATCAGTCTATCCAGAATTAGTTAAAAGTGTCTCTCACACTATTGTATTGGATCAACAACACAATTATCTGAACTAGTCATCTTTTTGTTTGGATGAAAGATTTGGATTCTATATCATTTGTTGGTGTAAGAATCTTTTAGACAGTCTAAATAATAATCTACAAAATGAAGAAATTAAATATATTCAAACTGCACTTATTAAGTTCAAAACTATAATCAATGTAGAGATGGTTGATGGTATTTTTAACTCCATCCCAGGGTTTGAAGTTCTAAAATCTTCATTTTATAAGGCGAAAACTTAAACTATTGAGTTTGGATCTTGTTACTATCATTGAATTTAATTAAATTATCCAAAACATATGATATAGATTCTTGGTTTTGGATAATGTTGTTGGTTAAGAAATTCCATTAGTTCTTGGTACTTGGACACCTATTTATTTTTTTATTTTTCTAATATAATATATATATATATTTTGTTACAAGTTATCCAACAAAGTGGAACATTACTCGAAGTAAGATACTTTTATTTATTTTTTCTATATATATATATATATATATATTTCAGTCAAACTTAGATGTGCCCTCATGTTGTAAGCTTGCAACTTACCAACAACAAAATATATATGTGTAAAAAATATACATATGCTTTGGGCAATGGAAATAACACCTGGTGAGTGATTTCGATACAGATGGAGATCATTAAATCTTGGGATTATGATTTTTTTTTCTGGTATGAAAGATTAATTAAGGAGCAAAATATAAGGTGTTACTCATTATATTCCTCTAAATTAAATTTTTTTTTAAATGGTTGGATTTTTTTTTTACCAAAATGGTAAAAAAAAAACCTCAACCATTTAAAAAAAAAATAGTTGGTTTGTTTGGTAATTTTAAAACATGGTTGGTCATTATATTTTTACCAAAATGGTAAAAAAAAAATTAGTTGGTTTGTTTGGTAATTTAAAAACATGGTTGGTTCATATTATAATTGAGGTCAATGTCACCCACTTTAGTGGGTTTTGGTGGGCCTATGTATTACTTTCAATGGGCTTTCGTTTTTTTTTGATCAATTTGGACATTGGGCCCACAGTTTAGGATATGGACCCGGCATTGTGTTAAAATAATAATAATAATAATAAAAACAAAAAACTACCAAAGAAACCAACTGAAAGGCTTGTTTGGGTCAACAATCTTCCGATCACAAAAGTGGCTGGAAGACTAGTTAGCCCATGATTGGTCTTATCTATTTTATGAGAGGTAAATTTTGTTTTTCTTGTTTGGATGCCAAAAAAAAGACTTAGAAAAAAAAAATACAATGTGAAGGAAAAAATTAAAATTTTAAACAAAATTAAATTTTCCATAAGCTACCCGTGGAAGTTAAAAATTCATTATCCCCCGTGGAAGTTAAAAATTCATTGTCCTTTCTTTCCTTTTGAATAAATCATTCTTACCTTAATCCCATTTGAATAAAGTTGGTTATACGAATATATATATATTTTTTTCTTATGATAAATCATATCTCCTACAATATTTAAGTTTTTAAGATTATTTTTAATTACTTCATTCCAAAAAAAGTTTGGTCATTTTCTTTGTTGTTTACTTTCTTGTCAAATAACTCTTATCTTTTAATTGGTGTATGATCATGCCACTTAAATTTACTTTACTTTCTCCAAATTCATAAATAATAGGCTCTATTTTCTCCAAATTCATAAATAATAGGCTCTATTTGATTATTATTATTTTTTTCATGGTTCTATTTGATTGGAAAAGTAGAAGGAATAAATAAAAAGGACAGAACGCATTTGTTGAAGAGGAGACCTCTTAAAGCTCTTGGTATCGTTTTCCTCTCTCCTTTCTACCAAACAACCACTACACCTTTATCCATTATTTTAATTTGAACCATTCCACTCCTTCATTTTTGCAGTTAGACAGCTGAGTTTACTTATAATAGTCACAATATTTGTAGAATGAACATGAAGCATGTGATGAATTAAAACCACAGTTTTTTAATTTTTGAGGTAAGAATAACTGAAGTAAAATGATAAAAAAATAATACTGCAATAATTTATGACCTTTATTTTTTATAACAAGTAAAATTATCATTTTTTACTTTCTCTATTATATATATATACTTTTTTTTTTCCTCAAAAAGTTCCACTAACAAGAGTATTGAATATTTTTTTAGTATTTTTTCCCCACCAAAACCTTGGTTTAGTTAGTGATATCTCATGACTCCAGCTCAACTAGTAGCCAAAACGTTCCTTTACCTTTAAAAAAATAAAAAAGATAAATGATTTTTATTTTATTTGATCCTTAAAGTAATTTTACATTTCACTCTTGGACTTCAATCATCAACTTTTAATTTGGGAGAAAAAAAAAAAACTACTAGAGTACTAAACCTTCATAATTATGATTAGTGGGACAATCACTTTTTTTCTTTTTCTTTTTATTATTTTTTTGTTTCTCTTCTATTTAATGTTATTAATAGGGGTGACAATTTGTGTTCGTGGATCATAATCGTGTCGTGTCGATGTAAGAATATTATACTAAACAGGTAAATCCAAACTCAATCCATTTAATAATCATGTCAAGAACTCTCAATACTAACTCAACCCGTTTATTAAACGACCTACTTATCAAAATGAGATATTTAATTAAATAATAAATAAATAAATAATTGTCATAATTAACCCAAATATTTAAAATAAGAAGAAAAATGATAAGACATAGACAACGTTTGTGTTTAAATGACTTAACTATCTACAGTAATTGAGTTTAAATAGCTAACATATTACATATATCATATTCACGATTATAACATGTTGAGTTAAACGGGTTACACGGGCTGAACCCTCAACCGTAACTCTAACCTTAACCCCTCAATTAATCTTGTCAATTCGTTTATAACCCAAACCCGTTTAAGATCAACTCAAATCCATTTAATTCGTGATATTAACAGGTCAACAGGTCGTATCCTAATTCGCGGGTATTAATATCCATTTCATTTCCTTAAAGTTTAGGATGATCTTATCCAAAAACTCAGCCAAAATTCTAAAGTACGCTTTTATTCCATGTTTGGATATCAAAAAGTCTAACTCATACGGAGTATTAATTAATTGAGCCAGGCGTCTTACTCGAACCCAATTGGTTAGGATCTAGGACTAATGAGTGGGTGCATGACATACGAACACTGCCTAATGTCACGCCCCGCTTATGGAGGTTATGCCACGCAGGCGACACGCAGACGCTAAGGAGGACGCTGCATGGCAACTGCATGGCAAGTGGAGTTTCTAGAGTCTTCCGGAATAGTCTAGAGTTATGTGGAAGTTTCTAGATATGTGTAGAAATGTGTAGAAGTGTGTGGAAGGTTCTAGAGTTCTCCAGAGTTGTGTGGAGTAGTATGGAGAATTCTAGAATGTTGTAGATACTAGTAGATAAGTATGGAAGTGTGAAGAAGGTGGGAGAAGATTCTAGATAATCAATCTCCACCGTTGGTTAGAATGCATCCTAGCCGTCCATTAGGGATGGGGATGCCTATAAATAGAGGTAGGACTTCATTTTGTAGGCAACAAGTCCTAGAGTGAGTCTTGAGAGCCTTGTAGAGAGCTTGAGTGCTAGCCTTGTACAAAGCATTCTTTGAAGTAATAGAAGTGTTCTTTCCTTGCCAACTTAAGTGCCTTAGTGTGTGTGAGTGTGCAAGCCAAGTGAGGAGAGGGCGAGGGCAACTACAACACTAGTAAGCGCACGAGGGGAGTGTGTTGGCTAAGGTGTGCACGGGAGTTAGGCTGACCAAGTACTTGCGAGAGTGAAAGCAACGTCTTGGTGCCGCACGGGAGCAGCTAGAGTGGTGCTGAAACTCTAAGCCCGTGACAGTTGGTATCAGAGCAGGTTCGTCAAGGGAGCTTTGTTGGAGTAGACATGGCTAGCGGAGGAGACCACCAAGTCCACATCTTAGAGCAGAGCTTGGAGGAGAAGCTTGCCACACACTTGGTCTACACGGAGACCAAGTTTAATAGGCTCGAGAGAAGGATGGCGGAGCTCTACGAGCTGATTGATGGCATCGCCAACAAGGCGCAAGAGAAAGAAAGGGACTTGCATGATTTGGTAGACGACTTGCGCGTGGAGATTGCCGAGTGCAAGAAGGAGTTCTCCCAGGCGCGCGAGGTCGTGGTGAAGCCAAGGAAGAAGAAGGCGCCGGAGCCCAAGGAATACGATGGGGCAAGGAATGCGCCCCAGATTGACAACTTCTTCTGGCACATGGAGCGGTACTTCGAGTGCATGGAGATCGAGGACGATGAGGAGAAGGTGCAGACAGGCACTATGTACCTCACGGACACTGCCGCTCTATGGTGGAGGCAGCGCTTCACCGGTAGAGGCGCAAGAGCAGTTGACACATGGGAGGAGTTTAAGAGGCAACTCAAGAGGCAGTTCTATCCCGAGTGCGTTGAGGACCTCGCCATGATCAACCTAAGGCGCCTGAAGCAGAAGGGCAGCATAAGGGAGTATGTGAAGGAGTACTCCAACTTGATGCTGGAGATCCCAGAGATGCCGGAGCGGCAACGTGTGTGCTTGTTCATTGATGGGCTGCAGTCTTGGGTGGCCACGGAGCTAAGGAGGAGGGAGCCTAGAGACTTGGCATCCGCAATGGCTATAGCGGAGCGCCTCGAAGACTTTAGGCGCGATGACAAGAGGGCCACGTCTCCCAAGAGGGACCACGGCAAAGGTGGGGGAGACCGGCGCTTCAAGAAACGGGGCTCGCCCAAGTCTAGCGATGATGAGCACAGCGATGAGGAGAGACGCCCACGCCATGATAAAGGTAAGGACCATGGAGAGAGGTCTAAGGCTAGTGGCAAAGGGGAGCGCCGCGATAAGGGCAAGTGGGAGCCGAAGTGCTACTTGTGCGAAGGGCCGCACATATTGCGACACTGCCCCAACAAGAAGACCATGAGCGCCCTTGTGAAGGATAAGGGCAAGGGCAGGGTGGACGATGCGGGCAGCGATGAAGATAGGTGCATGGGGGCTATGCAGATGCTGAGTAGCATGGCGCATGACACCAAGAAGAAGGGCAAGGCAAAGAAGGTAGCTGGGGTGCGCTATGTGGATGCGCAGGTTGGTGGCAAAGCCGTGCAAGCGTTGGTAGACACGGGTGCTACACACAACTTCATTACCCCGGAAGAGGCGCAACGACTTGGCTTGGAGATGCGCAAGACGGAGGGCTGGATCAAGGCCGTCAACTCCGAGGAGGCACGCGTGAGTAGAGTGTGCAAGGAGGTGGAGCTATGCATGCAAGGATGGAAGGGCAAGGCTGACTTCCAAGTTGCGGAGATGGACGACCACGACATGGTGCTGGGGCTGGAGTTCATGGACAGGAACAACGCCGCGCCACTACCATGCCTTGGTGCGTTGATGATACTTGGAGGCGAGGAATGTAAGGCCGCATGCATGGTGCCGCTCGTGGGCAGGAAGGAGAGTCCAGAGGTGGCAGTCAACACGATGGAGCTCGTGAGGACTTCACATCTCCCGAAGGGCGCTCGTACGTTTGGGCCAAGGACATATGCGCAAGTGCTGATGACCTGCGAGAGGCTGGGTCAGCTGAAGAAACCGTGACGAGGGCGTCACGGAAATGGGTGGGGGAGAATGTCACGCCCCGCTTATGGAGGTTATGCCACGCAGGCGACACGCAGACGCTAAGGAGGACGCTGCATGGCAACTGCATGGCAAGTGGAGTTTCTAGAGTCTTCCGGAATAGTCTAGAGTTATGTGGAAGTTTCTAGATATGTGTAGAAATGTGTAGAAGTGTGTGGAAGGTTCTAGAGTTCTCCAGAGTTGTGTGGAGTAGTATGGAGAATTCTAGAATGTTGTAGATACTAGTAGATAAGTATGGAAGTGTGAAGAAGGTGGGAGAAGATTCTAGATAATCAATCTCCACCGTTGGTTAGAATGCATCCTAGCCGTCCATTAGGGATGGGGATGCCTATAAATAGAGGTAGGACTTCATTTTGTAGGCAACAAGTCCTAGAGTGAGTCTTGAGAGCCTTGTAGAGAGCTTGAGTGCTAGCCTTGTACAAAGCATTCTTTGAAGTAATAGAAGTGTTCTTTCCTTGCCAACTTAAGTGCCTTAGTGTGTGTGAGTGTGCAAGCCAAGTGAGGAGAGGGCGAGGGCAACTACAACACTAGTAAGCGCACGAGGGGAGTGTGTTGGCTAAGGTGTGCACGGGAGTTAGGCTGACCAAGTACTTGCGAGAGTGAAAGCAACGTCTTGGTGCCGCACGGGAGCAGCTAGAGTGGTGCTGAAACTCTAAGCCCGTGACACTAAGCTACAATTCTGTTCCCCAAAACGTGAACCCAGTTTCAGACCGTTGACAGTCGATCTAACACCATCTAAAACCCTAGAAACAATTAACATTCATTCATCGTCTTCTTTTACTTTCTATATCTCTCTGTACATAATTTATATCCATAGATGCATATATATACTACGAGAATGCAGTCTCCATGTATCGGCGTCTGCAACAATTTCACGGGCTCACACCAACAATTTATGGGGTTTGGCACTCATCACTCTCTCTCTTCTTCAAACCGGACCTTCTTGCCCTCTAGAAGGTCCTATCCACGTCTTTCGTGCAGTTTCAGTAACGGACGCAATCGAAGCCCTAATCGCGAGAAGTCTAGACAGAGGAACAGCGGTGGTGATGGTAGAGAGAGAGTGAAGACTAAGGGCAAGGACAATGTGTGGAGTGTCGATAATGACATTGCCAAGGCGGAGAAGGAGAGAGGGCATCGGAGGAGGAAGAGAGGGAGGAGGGTGAGGACTGTGGGGAAGAGGTCTAAGGGTGATAGGGTTATGGTGTCTGGAGCTATGTTGATGGAGGTTGAGACTGTTCTGCAAACTCAGGTAATTCAGTTTGTTTTTGAGTGTTTAGTTGTAGAGAGTAGCTGCTTCAAATAATTGGCAGGCCTTATTGAGTTGAATTATAGATAGAAAGTTCAGTTCCACACATATGTGAAAATTGATATGTGAAAATTGATATGTATATGGACATATGCATTTGAGGGAAAATACCTAGCTCATTTATATGAACAATTGAATTCGTCCAAAATTGGGTGGGCACTTGGATGGTGTCAGATTTCAGAGGGCATGGAACAGGAGTAAAGTATTTCATTTTCTTATTTCCTTTTTGGAAATTTAGTTATGCAAAGTTTAATTTGGAACATTCAGGAAAAAAAAAAAAAAAGGTGTTCAATTTGGAACTGAAACACAGGAGTAAATGCCCATGTTCTGTTTGCATCACCGGGTAGTTGTAGTTATGACTGTTGTTTTGCCACTACAACAGAATATGTTGTAGTTATCATTGTTGTTTCAGGACACAGAATATTCGATTATTACTTTATCTTTGGGGTTTTTCCGTAACCATTTGATACATTAGAAACTGTCGGCCCATCACACCTTCAAATTTGGGGATTTGTTGTGGCTAGGCATGGAGTGGTCGGATTTGGATTCTGGAAAGTATTCTAAATAAAGTTGAGCTCAATTTTGAAATTAATGTACAACTAAAGGTTTGAATACATTGGGGTTGTCCAAATATCCCACAAAATTAAAATTGAAACCAAGCAGCTTTGGGCATAAGAAAGTTATAGTTTTATGTTAGTTATTACAATATTTTGTTCCCTTTAGCCAAATGTTGATTTGTATTCAGATTTAATCTAAAATTTTAGGGGGATGTGTCTTGTAATTTAACCTAACGGCAAGGATTTTCTTTTTCAGGAACCTGTAATCCGTCCAGTATGGAATACATTTGCAAGCAGTATCAGTGGAATTTGGAAGGGAGTGGGAGCAGTATTTTCTCCCATCACTGCTGAAATGGAGCCAATTGAGATTGGAAAGAAGAATGAAAACTTATATGACTGTTATACTCTTTCACGAATTGAGGCAGTGCCATCCCCTCGTGGAGAGCAGAAATCTCAAATCCAAAAAAGAATAAATTGGGTCACATTGAATCCTTATGGTGAAAATAAACGGCTGAACAGAGGCAGCAGTAGAAGTGAAGGAAATTCTACAGATGAAGATGCAAAGGAGACATTTCATGGAAGTCTGGCAAATCATGTTTTGCCAAAATATGAGTCTTTTGACTTTGGGAGAAGTGATGTGATGGAAGAAGATCTCATGGGCATGGAGCCTGGTCTTGTTTACTTCGAGGTAGGATTAAGTCAATTTCTTTGATAAATTACCAAACAATACCCCCCTCTCAACCCCAAATAGAAAACTCTGTTTCCAAGATTTAAGCTTGAGAATTAATAATTTAAAAAACCACATATATCATTTATGCATATTAAATGAGTAATGCAGGTTGGTTCACAATTTTAAGGTTATTTTAGATGCAAGGATGGGGAGTCAAGTCTCTTGTAAAATTGGGCACTGTATTAGGGAATTTGGGGAATGATGGTGTGTGTGTGTGAGTGTGTTTTCCTTTTCCCCTTTTTCCTTCATTGTAAAAGATAAGTCATCCTTTGCCTTGTTTTCTTCCATCACATTTTCTTGATATGTTCTAAATTGCTGGCTTTTGCAGTGCCTAGCTTAACACGATGGGGTTGATGATAACAATCAGAGTTTGCTCAACTTAAAATACTTGGCTAAAATTGATACCATAAGATTTCCTATAGGTTTAGCTATTGCCAGTTTCCACTCTCGACAGACGTGGACGTTGCATGTGATTTAGTTACAATGCAGAAGTCCTAATAATACTTCAACACAATAATGTTTTAGTAGGGATTGTTTCACATAATATATACTCGTCAATTCTTACAGAAGTGAAAGGGGTTTATTTATAGAAACAGGAAAAAAGGGGAAAATCTGTGAGTAGAAATTCCTTGTGTCTAGTGGTCTAAATTGTCTAATAGATCTTCTGTTACAAAGGATCTGGTGCTTTGTAAAACTTTATTTATTGCAATTTAATGCTTTCTTTGAGAAGAAAATAATAGCAGAGTCCTAGATAGTATTTTAAGGGTTTAATATTAAGGGGTCTAGACTACTTAAGTAAGTAGCATTTTGGTCTTCTTGGATTCTGTTGTGTAGAGGACACATTATTTTAGTCTTGCAGATGCTGGTCTTTTTCTTTTTCTTTTTTTAAAAAATTAAATAACTAAAGGAGTCTAGACTACTTAAGTAGCATTTAGGTCTTGGATTCTGTTGTATAGAGGACACATTATTTTAGCCTTGTAGTTTTATTTTTTTTATTTTTTATCTTGTTAAAAAAAAAATTATGCGTTATGAGCATATTGTGCATCTTTTACATCTTGTACATGATTTCCTTTGAAAATTTATTATTATTGTTATTATTATTTTTGCTTGCTTGGGCACTTTATATATTTATTTATTTTTTGGGTAAGTCTTGATTAATTAATTGTTTCGCAAGATGCTTCTATGGGCAAAGCAAAACCAATAGCATAATGGCTTTACAATTATGGACCAAACTTTGGGTAAATTATGCCGTTGTTATTAACCAGTAGTATGGTGCGGTCTTGGATTCATTTCTTCCATTTGAGTTCCATTTTTTTTAAAAATATTAGCAGGAAATTATGACAATGAACTAAGACATTGAAATATTCTATGAAATATTGATAAGAAGTATGTAAAAGAAATTTGGGCATGCATCATAAACTTGTCAAAAAAGATGCTCATGAATTTTATTTAATGGAAGACATTTTGTGATGATAGGATCTCCTTTAAGTAGTCTATGGAGTTACAGATAAAATTTTGTTTTACCATGTTCACCTTGATTTCTTTTTATAATGAACGATTCATTTGGTTGATTTTACAGGATGGATCTTTTTCCAGGGGCCCTGTTGATATTCCGGTTGGTGAAGTTGATGAGTCCCAGTATTATCTGTCACCAACTTTAAAGTTTGAGCAAGTAGAGTCTCGCGATCTCTTTAATTTTCTTGTGTAATATTTTCTATGTACTCTTCGACTCTTTGTGATTGTATTTAGTGTCAATGTGAGTATTGTGGGTAGGGTCTGTTCAAACTGGTTTCTAATGTACCATCTACATGTTTAGCAGTGTAGATCCATGTGCCAATTTAGTGGAGAAGATAAAAGGTACGATTAACTGCTATAAATAAAAAACAAAAACAAAACAAAAACGACATGAGTACTCCTATGTATCTTGAGGCTGTAAGTTTTATTGTAGAATGATTTTCTTCTTCTTTTGTTGGTAGAGTGTGGGAATTAAATATTGATAAAACAAAGGCAAAATGTATAGGGGCATATCAACATGATCTAGGAGGCACATCTATAGTCTTTTTGGGAAGGTCAAAGAAAGGAGGCATATCTATAGTTGCTATTAAGGTTCTAATAGTTTGGAAACATGTGTCTCAAGAATATTATCTGAAACTCAAATGAGGATCCAAAAATTTTTTTTGCCACTGTTTTGCTATATACTCTGAGGGCGGGCTGTGGTGTAATGGTAAGGTTGCTCCATTGTGACTTGGAAGTCATTGAAATAGGAAACAAACTCTCCGCATGTGGGGGTAAGGCTGTGTAAATTTGACCCTCACCAGAATCCGAAGTGGTGGGAGCCTCATGCACTAAGCTAGCCATTATTTTGGTATGCTCTTTGTAAAATCTTACGAAAGGAAGAATAGTTGGCTGTTGGGGTGGGGAGGAAGCATGTGAGGTGTGTTGTTGGTAGGGGTGGCAACTGCATTGGTTGTGGTGGACCATGTAGTTGTTGCAGTATAGTGGAGTGGCCCATTGATGAAGGTTTGGTGGTAGTGAATTAGCTATGTTGACTGTGGTGACGGTGTTGATGGCAGGGATCAAAGAAGAGGTAGAGATAGTGATAGCGGCAGCTGAAGGGAAAAACTAAATTATGGTGACAAGGGCAATGGAGAGGTGGCAGGACAATTTCGTTTCCTTTTATTATTCAGGTATTTTCAGTTGAAGAATCATATTTTATATATATCACATGAAGTACTAAGCTGCTGATATCACTTTGGGGAAAAAAGTTTTCTGCTTTGTGTTCATCTGGTGATTTTATTGAAGCCAAAATTAGGTGGTTCAGCCGGAAAGTTTTTTCTGCCAGAGGCCTTTTTTTTTTTTTTGGGGGGGGGGGGGGGGGGGGGATCAGAATTAGAAGCAAATGTCTTTATAATGCCTCCCCCATGTTGAGCAGATTATGTCTTTATAATGCCTCCTGTCCAGTTTACTTAATTTTTTTTTTTTCTTAGTTGGGACTTACACACACTGCCTTCACTGAGGTTCGAACTCCTGACCTCCCTTCGGGAAGTAGGAGCCTTATACCGCTAGGCCAGATCTGTTGGTCAGTTTACTTAATTGTATTCAATGTCGTGAAAAAAGTTTAGTGCATCTACTTCTTCGACTGAAGGAAGACAAAAATAGTTGTTCAATCTCAATGTTTTCTTGCTCAGTGTTTGGTCAAAGGTTGCCACAAAAGACTGCGCATTGTTCACACTATAGAATTCAGTAATTTGGCCTCAGACATCCAGATAATGAGGGTTGCTGTTTATGAAGAAGAGTGGGTCAGTCCTGCTAATATCCCCGACCATAGGTATGATTGTACTTGCCTTTCAGCATCTACTTGTGTTGGGTAACTATGACGATTTAGGGTCTATAATATCAATTGTCTTTGATAATTTTTCCCTGAAAAGGTCTAATGTCTTATCTCTAATTTCCCACAGTGACATTGAGTTTGATTTGAAGCCATTTTCTCAGAGGAAAAGAATTCAACCAGCAGAGCTGACTGGATCCTGGAAGGTGTTTGAGGTGAGTGCTTTCCCAATCTATGGTGAGGAGATGGTAACAGAGGAAAGCAACAGCACCCCTTATGTATACCTGTGCACAGAGACCTTAAAGAAGAGAAGCTTGCCTGAGAATGCAGTTCATTTTGGAGAGGAAGAGGCGCAAGATATGCAGGACATGGCCATTCTGTGGCTGCCAGGAGGTGTCACTGGCTATGTTGACGTAAATAAGGACGGCACCCTATGTATTGGGGTTGGTTGGTACTCTGACGAAGGAGTCAACCTTGTCATGGAGAGGGATTATGGAATAGATGGGAAGCTCAAGGAGGTTCGATGGAAGACTGAAGTGAAGAGAAGGTGGTCAAACCCAATCCCAGAGTAAATTATCTTAAAATGTTTTTGTTTGTCTGCTAATAGTGTTGACTGTACATGTCTGAGTTAAAGAAAACTAAGAAATGATGGGGCAAATTTAACGCTTTGTTAATAATTGTGTTTAATCGGCCAGAACTTTGCAGCTCTGTAGGCGGTCCTGTCCATTCCTTGTGTAAATTCTCTTTAAAAGTTTCCATTTGTTATGTTACCAAGGATCTGCAGCAAATGTTGATATATGATAACCGAGTGTTGACAGCCAATTACAGTAGCATTGACCCCATTGCTTGCCTGTTTGTGTTCTTTGAAGTTCTAGGAATGTATACCCGCTGATCAGAGTCATTCCTACCTAACATCGGCAACGATGATCAAAATCAGTTTTTTCTTAATAACAACCAATAACCTTATTGACGGTCTATTTTGTGGCCAATATTATCTTTTATCAGGACTGCAGGTAGAGTCATTGCTTGCTTGTTGGCGTTCTATATTATCTTTATATGTATATATATATATTCTTGTTTTCCCTTAATCGCCAGTATTTGTTTTTCTCATTTTATCCATCTTTGGCATTTGAAATCATGTTCTTCTGCTTGAATGTTGCGAGGATGAGCATGGTGTTACAACTTGCAAAAACTGAGTAATGTTGCAGTCTCTACTTATTCCCTCATTACTGAAGGTTTTATAGAGGAAACATTTACTGTGGTTTGTAATGCAAATCAATACATCAGTTGTTTGCCATTTTGTGCTTCTATTTTAGGGCTTTTCGCAAATGGGGAATGGGAGAATTTACACTCAGAAATGGTTACTTTAAATTGGTTTGATATGGCTGATAATGGTATTCTTATTGAGACATCCAGCCTATGTTTTCTTTGACATCAGGAACCTTGCTTTGCTTTGCTTTCTCTATCTACATTTGTGCCCCAGGCATCGCTTTATAATTTATCAAATAATTCTAATATACCATATTATTCTTATTGTCATGGAATATTAAGCGGTAATAAGATTTTAAATTATTATGGCCAAGGTATTTCTCCGATCTTTTTGCTCTTCTATGAACTCTTATATTTTATTCTCTTATTATTTTCATACACTAGGTATTTTTAAACACTAGGCTTACTAATAAACCATTCTAATCTTATAAATAACACAACTGCCCTTCAGATTTCCTATCCTTATATCTAATAAATTGTTTATTTTGACCCGAGCAAAAAAAAAAAAAAAAAAAAAAAAAAAAATGTTGTAACAATTAAAAAAATTATCTCACCTAAAAAAAGTTATTTCTATTGAATAAATTATTTCTTTTGATGAGACCCATAAAAATTACCAAAAAATGAAGTTACCTCTTTTAATATGGTTGAAAAAAATTTAACTTTATTGAACAAATTATTTGGAGCTGTTTCGTCATTATTTGTCAATATCATAGTCTATATTCGATAATTCGTTTTCTTGGTGAATCATATACTTACATGTGTATTAGTCTTTTGCCTTTTTATATATTAAATATTGGATGAAATTAGTACAAGATTAATTCAATTAACAATATTTTTCCACTATCCCTTTAAAGCATAACTCAAAACCAGGCCCTCTTCAAAAAATTCGCCACGAAATTAAACAGCTCTAACCTATATTTGGTTGTCGATGATTCGAACAATTTTATTTTATATTGCTTTGATTTCTTAAATTTAAAAAGATTCCTTCAACTAAGACTAATAATTATATTAGAACTCTCTTAACCGTTCCAAAGGAAAATAAAAAATAAATGACTTATGAGTTATCCTCTCGGCCTGCAATACAATTATTAAGCTTGGTTGAATAAATTTAGGGCTTCACAGCAGCATTACCAAAACGGCGGAGCGACGATCGGCGACCACTACACACAACCGTACAACTCTAGTTAAATCAGGTTAGTGCTCTCTCACGTCTATTCTTACTTCTCTATCCTATATTAACTAAATTACAATCTTTCTTGATTTGTCAAGTTTGTAGCTCTGGAAATCAAAAAGCACTCCAAAATAAAATAAAAAAAAAAAAGAAAAAAAAGAAGGTGAAAAATAAACTTTTCACGGTTATGGATTTGGAGAACAAAAGGTAATGACATAATTATTATATTGGAGCTAAATTTAGTTCACATTCTTGTCACTACACGTGAGTATGTATTGTCACACAAGTAAAAATGCATTATTTTCAATAGGTTATATAATTATGTGTCATGTTTAATTAGTAATTAAATTATATGATGTCATCGGGTGCATTAAAGTTTTTTTTCTCCCCCAAGGGCTGCTGCTTCGGGTGCATTAAAAACTCATCCGGTTGGTATCATAATTGAACAATGATCATCACTAAAATCAAAATTCTGGTTAGAGGTGTCAAGTTCTTGCACATCAATGATTCAGTCCTTTGTTTCCAGAAGATAAAGTACTAATTCTTCTGATTTATACGTACATATTTCTTCAAGAATTACTCTTTTTGGTCTATAATCTAATTGATCTAGTTGAGTGCAGGGGACCCAAATGCTCAATTATTTCAGAAGTACATTTCAGCTGGGATGTGTTGGAATAAAAAAAAAAAAATGTATAATGTGTGCAAAAATATATATTTTATATAAATATAGTTGAATTGCAATTTATTCAATCAAAATATAATTTTTTATTTGGGTTGGGCTTGGTTAGGTCTGATGTGTTTTACCAATGCCCTGTTTTCCTTGTTTGGGGTGGGCTCTCCAGATTGGACTATTTGGGCCTGCTGGTTTGATCATTGTGGTTTGTGGGCTTAAGCACTTTTTTTATTTTTATTTTGTCATTTATCTTTTTCTACCTTTTGTAAAAACTCACAATCCATTGTTGCAAAACAAGCGCCAACCCAAGCATCAAAACATTCAAGTTACCAAAAAAATTATGAAAATTTTTAGAACGTTCAAGAGTTTGTAAAAATAGAATAGAAATTTTATAAAAAGTTTTAGAGTGATTTTATTAGAGAGGATGATGTCTATAAATAGGTGAGGGTGTCATTTGTGTTGCTCTTGTACTACTCAAAGAAAAGAGGGAGGAATCGGGTGAGGCACGAGAGCAATGTTGGGTGATTTGGGATGATCGTTACTAGTTACTTTACATAATGATTTGTTTTTTTAAAAAAAAAGCAAAATAGTTATCTTAAATAGTTAAAGTGAAAGAAAATATATCATTATTTAAAGATCTTCTACCCCAAACTGTTTCATAATCCTTTGAATATGGATTACAGGGTAGATTCTGAGTATCAATTTTTTCCCCTATAAATCTTGTATTGGATTGATTGATTTTTCAAAATCAATAGAATATAATATGTTTGAATGTGATAAATGTAGAAGTTGTAGAACGTTGTATGATGTAGCTCCAATTGATAACAGAAAAATATCCCATTGCAGTAAAGTCATATTAGCGAAGTGCTTCCACTAAATGACATTGGAAGTGGAAAAAGTTGATGGGAAGAGGTGAGACATGGGATGATGGGATAGAGGTGGGAATTGTGTTGGAAGAAGTTGAAAAGGAAATGCAATATTTTTTTTTTGGTGGGAATGCAAATTTTGGGGTATAGAGTTGAGCTATATTGTATGGGGGTGTATTTTTAGTTATACTAAAATAATGTTCTGTTTTTTAAGGATATGCCGCTTAGTTTGCTGATTCTTGATCAAACTGATTGATGATTTATTCATCTTTTTTATGCTGAGGTTTAATTTATAGTCATTAATGAACTGTTTTTCACATTTGTAGGTGCTCATATGGTAAGATGTGTGTGAACTTGGGTTTGAGGTCTGAAATTTGAAATTACTGGTGAAGTAATTATGGTCTCATTTGCCTTTTTTAGGGTTTCTTTTGTCATTGATCTTGCAATGGTCACTATGTCTGAGTTTGGTACGTTATTCACCTGTTTTCTGCCTAGGTTTGGTTTTTCTTAATTAGTTTCGGTTTTTATAAATTGTCTTCATGCTGACCTATTTGTATGGAACAAAGGTAACGGTGATAATGATTTATTTGTATTCTTTATAATTAGTGCTTTACTGCATTGGTTGTGGTGGACCATGCAGTAGTAGTTGTTGCAGAATGGCGGTGGAATGACTCCACTGATGAAGGTTTGGTGCTAGTAAATATAATATATAAACGATATCATACATGTGTAATATATGCAAGTGTGCATATTGTCACGCCCCGCCTATGGAGGTTGTACCACGCAAGCGACACGCAGACGCTGAGGAGGACGCTGCATGGCATGGGAGTTTCTAGAGTCTTCCGAAATAGTCTAGAGTTATGTGGAAGATTCTAGATATGTGTAGAAGGTTCTAGAGTTCTCCAGACTTGTGTGGAGTAGTATGGAGAATTCTAGAATGTTGTAGATACTAGTAGATAAGTATGGAAGTGTGAAGAAGGTGGGAGAAGATTCTAGATAATCAATCTCTACCGTTGGTTAGAATGCATCCTAGCCGTCCATTAGGGATGGGGATGCCTATAAATAGAGGTAGGACTTCATTTTGTAGGGAACAAGTCCTGGAGTGAGTCTTGAGAGCTTTGTAGAGAGCTTGAGTGTTAGCCTTGTACAAAGCATTCTTTGAAGTAATAGAAGTGTTTTTTCCTTACCAACTTAAGTGCCTTAGTGTGTGTGAGTGTGCAAGCCAAGTAAGGAGAGGGCGAGGGCAACTGCAACACTAGTAAGCGCACGAGGGGAGTGTGTTGGCTAAGGGGTGCACAGGAGTTAGGCTGACCAAGTACTTGCGAGAGTGAAAGCAACGTCTTGGTGCCGCACGGGAGCAGCTAGAGTGGTGCTGAAACTCTAAGCCTGTGACAGTTGGTATCAGAGCCAGGTTCGTCAAGGGAGCTTTGTTGGAGTAGACATGGCTAGCGGAGGAGACCACCAAGTCCACATCTTAGAGCAGAGCTTGGAGGAGAAGCTTGCCACACACTTGGTCTACACGGAGACCAAGTTTAACAGGCTCGAGAGAAAGATGGCGGAACTCTACGAGCTGATTGACGGCATTGCCAACAAGGCGCGAGAGAAGGAAAGGGACTTGTATGATCAGGTAGACGACTTGCGCATGGAGATTGCCGAGTGTAAGAAGGAGTTCTCCCAGGCGCGCGAGGTCGTGGTGAAGCCAAGGAAGAAGAAGGCGCCGGAGCCCAAGGAGTACGATGGGGCAAGGAATGCGCGCCAGATTGACAACTTCTTCTGGCACATGGAGCGGTACTTCAAGTGCATGGAGATTGAGGATGATGAGGAGAAGGTGCAGACAGGCACT